TGCTAACAGTTTGCCACAAGTGAGAACTAAGTGTTAATGTTGACTTAGGGGAGGGGTAGGTGGGCAGTTTCCCAGAAAGGTTTAATGATCCAAACTTTTCAACAACTTAGTACAGTAAGTTATCTTGTTTTATTTGTAACCCCGATTTAGCAAAAGCAGCGTGACAAACGAATCGACGGCTTTTACAGGGTTCACACAGTCGTGGAAAGTCCTTGAATTTAAAGGGAAGTCCTTGAAAAGTCCTTGAATTCCATTTTTCCTTGAAAAGTCCTTAAATTTCTGTGCAAGTCCTTGAAAAGTCCTTGAATTTTCTTCAACTTTGAATGGAGTGGCCTGGAAAGATTTTTCTGATGCTTTTTGGTTGTCCAAGACAGAATATAAATCATAGCTCAGAGAATTTAAAGGTTATTTACATAAAGTACTCTATGTTTTATGCAAGAATCAACTGACAATGTAGAGAAGCTGGTGAAGCAAACAGTTCAAGCCTTGAAGTCTTACTAGAATAGACTGGGAATGTGCATTTTTGTACAATCTGTGAAATTATATTCCTAGTAGCTGGTCCTTGAAAATCTAATGTGGTCCTTGAAAACTCCTTGAAAAATGGTTGCAATTTTTTGTATGAACCCCGTTGTACAGAGAATGCTGACATGACCAATGGCACAGTTTGCCTCTTAAGAAACGAGGATTAATATACGTGTCTGGGGAAACTGCTCATTTACCCTCCCCTAAGCCAACATTAACAATTACTTTTCACTTAGGGCAAAATGTTTGCTTAGGGAGGGTAGGAAACAATGATCCAGGAGCGATAGGAAACTGGGTCGCAAAGACATCTGGGACTGTTACTAGGGACAGGGGAAAAAACATTGGCCAATAGCTGACCAGTGCGTCCCCAGTAACCATCCCAGAAACAATTGCGGGACGCATTTCGGTAACAGTCAGGTCACGTCTCGCTTCTACGGTGGCGAATGGCAAATTGTTCACCAGAAATCATGTTCAGTGCTTTTCTCGCTCTTTAAATTCCATTGAACCTTAACCTTGTTAAAATTGCATTTTATTCACCCTGTCAATGACTAAAACTCAAAGTAATTTTTTTTTTGTAGGCAAGGCCCATCGCTTTTGACAACTTTACCGGAGGGATTCCACCTTCACGCCGCTCCAGGAGTTGTTCCAGTAGATAGAACTTTGCAACCCACACCTCTTCCAGCCTTTTTGTCGACATATATTCCAAAGGTAAGATGTGTGGTTTATGGTGTAACTTACGTCTCCTCAATATCGCACGGCACGGTTTGATATCGTTCATTGTTGTGTAGCTGCAAATGTTTCCTCCAACGCGCAAACTTATTGGTTACTTTGAGGTCATATAGCTTCTGAATGGGCAACAAAGGCTAGGGGTGCACTGTTCACCAACGAATGTTGATAATTCCCTGAGTTTTGCTTTGGACGCGTAGAAATTTTTTAATATAACAAACCACGTAATGACTGGTCCCTCCCTTCTTTTATATATCATTCGTATGGGGGCACCAAAGTTCCATATATGTGCTGCGTATATGGGAATTTAGGGTATCTTTCTTTACTTTGCCACAATCTAATGAGTCTGTTGTTCTTCATCTAGGTGACGGCAGGAACTAGCGTTTACCAATGCAGTGACCGTAGCTCTGCATACGAGATTCAGGAACTGTTACAGGGAGGCTCAGAACTCTGTCGGAATCTCCTGTTGTACGGGACCCCTGACCTTGAAGAAGTGAACTTTGCCAAGCGTCATCTCTTTCCTCCACCGCTTGGCGGATTGGAAGGTTCAGCACCAGAAACTGGATGGTCCTTCGTGCAAATCCCAGGTGTGGTTGAGTGTTTCTTCAACAAAATATTCTCCACACTGTTGTCAATACATTTGTTATAGTGTTCACGATGAGAATTGAGTTAACAATCATTTTTTGGTTAAGCCTGTAAGTAAGCTCTTTTGGGGAGGGTTGGGGTGGGGGTGGGGGAGCCTCTTGGGGTGGCGGAGAAAAAATAAGGAGATGAAAGTCAAGATGTGTGGCCTGTCACCACATTTAGTTTATCAAGATGACATCATCACCAAATTTGTCTCCGCCAATCAGCATTTTACACCAACTTTTTCGATGCAGAGATTCAAATTTCTTAGACGTGACCGCAAACTCTCGTGTTCTTCCGTCCCCAGCTCCCAGAATCCCGCAGAGAAGCTGCTCGCAGGCAATCTTCGTTTGTAGCCATTCCTCTCAATCTCCTGGCCTTTTTGTTTGAGAAAGCGGTGTTATTGAAAGGAGAAATTAACCTTGGATGACTTGGGGAAGGGGGGGGGAGGGGTGGGAAGCGACGCTCATATTCGGAGCAGGAATGCTAATTCGTTAGTTTGGGCAGGAGGTGGGTTTGAGTGACTGTACTGTTGGTCTTTCAGTGCATTGACAGTGTAGATAGTTCTTGTTTGTAATGGAGTGCATCTCTTTCTTTTTAGACCGCAATGCATTGATTACAGACAGCGGCAAACTTACAGTACTCGATGGACTGCTGAGAAAACTCAAGCTTCAAGGACACAGAGTGTTGATCTACTCCCAAATGACAAGAATGATTGACCTGTTAGAGGTAAAAGGCATTTTATTCATCACTGCATTGAAACATAAAATAATAGGAAGCCTTCCCCCCTTTGACTGATTAGCTTTCCATTTATTTAGGAGCAGGGGAAGGAGGGGGGGGGGCAATGTCATTGTTGAATATCATGTAAATTGCCATTCGTTTTATGTGTAATCAATTCGTATTTTTTTAAGGAGTACATGACCTACCGAAAACACAAGTACATGCGCTTGGATGGCTCGTCCAAAATCTCCGACAGAAGAGACATGGTGGCCGATTTTCAAAATAAGTAAGTCCCTCTCTACAGAAGTATCTGAAGGGAGTTAAAGTTTTCGCGACTACAGACTACCTACTACGGGCTTTTATACTACTTCACCCCACAGTCTTAAATTTGGTATGTTGACTACTGAATCTAAGGATTTTGATTGCCCAGTTCGAAAAGATGGGTACGAATCCATAAAAAATAGAACACAAAAACCTTTGTACATTCGAATTCTTTTGTCTATACACATTTGCAAGCCACGAAAATTCAGTGTTAAGTAAGTTGCAATAGTCTTTCTAACCTTCTAAGAATGAAGGGTTTGTATAAAGCTTCAGCCATTGAATAGAAACAAAGCGCATTCTTTGCATTGGCTAGCGAGTGTTAATAGTTCTTATTTGTATTTATGCTGTAAGCTTTCCTTTTCAGCGCGGACATTTTTGTTTTCCTGCTGAGCACCCGAGCAGGGGGTCTGGGGATCAATCTCACTGCTGCTGACACGGTAAGAAACCTTTCGTAGAGTATGTCCTGTAGAAAGCATCATTTGTCTTTTTGTCAAGTCCAAGTCTAAAGCTTTATCTTCTGCATTTGACAGGTAATTTTCTATGACAGCGACTGGAATCCCACTGTGGATCAACAGGTAAAGAGTTGTTATTCTGAATTACGGATACAGTCAAATCCCGATACTGCGCGGGACACTCTCGGAACCGAGAGTTAGTGTCTTTAATAACGAGAGTCCGTAATAGCTGGATGGAAATGAATTTCGTTTAGAAGACAATCGTAAATTAACAGCTGTCGCCTGTCCGTATTATCGGGTGCCCACAATACCTAGGTGTCTGCAAGGCGAGAGTTGACTTTATGAAGAGAACTTCTTGTCCTAAAAATTCTTGCCAAGACTATATGAATTTCTAAAAAACAGAAAGACTAGTAGGACGAACTTTATTATTAGAGCAGTGGTTAAAGTAGACTTCTATTTCACCCCAACAACTGTTTTTGGCACACAGGCCATGGACCGCGCCCATCGCTTGGGCCAGACTCGCCAAGTGACCGTGTACAGACTGGTAACGAAGGGATCCATTGAAGAGAGAATTTTACAGAGAGCTAAAGAAAAGAGCGAGGTTAGAACTCCACTCAGCGTATTTGCTACGTTAATAACGCTATGTCAAGCTCTTTGTCATATTTTGAAAAAGCTAAACCGTGTCCTCGCATCTATTGAATTCAAAAAATCGTGGTACACTGTTGTGATGTAAGACTATGGTTAGGTATTGAAATTGTTTCCTATCGTCTGTTGCTACAGATTGTCAGGATGGATGTGGATTGAATCTTGGAAAAGTTGGACCAACTTTTTCAAGTTTTAATGCTCTGCCTGCAAAAGTCATGAAAAAAATATCATTGTTTGATATCTTCATAACTCTACAGGATATTTATGTATGGGCAAATGCACTAAGTAATGACTTAAGCATAGAACTGACCTGAAACAGTGATATCTTAGTGACATGAGCACTTTTTCTAAACCTTCTTTTAATGTTCTGAGCGGTTATTCGTATGTTTAACCGTAGTTGGTATAGGAGACTGGTTTGGAAACCCGGCAAACATCAAAGTTGAAAACAACGGTGCTGTAGTTTATATTGGAAGCTTCCTGACCGAGCACAATCCTTTGTTTTCTGTTAACAAATTGTGACTGAATAAATTAATGCAATGATTCTATTGGTCAGTAAGTTCAAAATGATAGGAATGCTATTGAATGTTGTGCACGGTCAGGTCCAAAAAAGCTAACAAAAACATATAACAAAAGAGTCTAACGGGTTTCATAACCATTCCACTTTAATAAATATGGTTTACCTCAATTAAATGGTAGTTCCAGCTCTTTGAAATTTGATAGGTTTTGTGATACATGTACAGTTCCTTTAATTTGGTTTCCCTCGAATGTCAATTGAACCCTGTGCCTCTGGCTTTAGTTGTTATATTTGTTCCACACCTTTGGTAAAATTATATTGTCTGGATTTCATTTTAGATTCAGAAAATGGTGATATCGGGAGGCCACTTCAAGCCTGAAGCTCTTAAACCCAAAGAAGTTGTCTCTCTCCTACTTGACGACGCGGAACTGGAATGCAAATGTAAGCTTGTGTTACTTGTCATTCCTTAGTTCGTAAAGCCCCCACTTTCAAAACGAGTCCAAATGCAAAGCCCTTTTGTGGGAAAATGAGTTTTAATTTGAAAGTTGCTTTGAATTGGTTTTTATGTAGTACCCAAGACTTTGCTCTTACCCTTGCTTTGTAAAAAATATGCTTCCAGCAACTCGCAAGCTCGGACTAGCATTCTAGTACGGACGGGGTCTAAGCGCACTATTATCTTTTTCAATGTCTTTTGTTCAAACAGTCCTCCAACGTCAAGCTGAAAAGAAGGCAGACGAGCAACGACGGAGAAGAGAAAGGAAAAGGAAAAAGGGTGGAGGACCTGCTGAGGTACTTTTGCGGAAGATTTTAAAGAAACAAAACAAACTTACAAATTTGTGAATATCTATAACTATCCTCTCTTTAAAATGACGTTTAAAATGATGTCTGCTGAGTCCCGAAGGTAGTTTTGCCAGTGTGTCGAAGTTTTGTACCTCGAAACATGAATGGCTAAGATTAACGTTACGGCAAACTTCTTAATGAGTTAAAACTATTCCTCAAAGTTAAGATTTTTGTACTTCAAATTGGTAACAGGCAGGTTTTAAGGTGGGCAAATGTCCGTATCGGCTTGAAAGGACTATGAAGAACCTAGCTATCAGACCTGAGTGATATTAGCTTAGTGTAACAACATATAGGTGAGAAACAGTTATGGTTCTAACAGTTATTTGACGTCATCTGTCAATTTTTACCGAATATTTTTCAAAACGGAAATATAATCTTGTTACCTTAGTCAAACTGCAGTATTGTAAAAAAAAAAATCCTTGGGTTGATATTTAAACAACAACGATTCCTTTGTTTTACTACCTAGTTGGACGAAGGCGCGTCCCCAAGCATCGACGTCATGGATGGGACACCCCCCGCTAAGGCCAGGAAAGGGCGCAAAAGTAAGAGCTCTCTTGTACCACCCGTACCAGAAGGGTCCTTATCTGGCTCCAAACCTGCCTCTGAGACAAGCAGCTTAACTGGCGAGGGAATGAGCGTGAGGACTGGGGAAGGGTTTGATGTTGATGGTACTGTCGGTGATGACATAAGCGTGTTGAGTCTGGATGAAGGTATGTTGCGTTACTCTTGTTACTGTCACGCTAACTTAAGTGACATGGTTGCTACAGGTCAGGAAATGGTCAAGGGAAAAATTTTATGAAGGTCTGAAATTAGAGTACATGTTTTTGTCGGCTCCTGACGGTCATGAATCATGTTGTATTAGTAGGATATTGTTCGTAAAATTGAACGACAAGCTGATGTTGGGTTTTCAAGAAAATCAATCCTCGTTTTGTTAAGGAACTGTCAATTCATGTACACTGCACGTGACTTGCGGAAAAGAAAGCATAGATAAATGAGTCTATGAGGGGAGGTGTGAGTCCATTTTCAGGGCTAATTTGTGAAACTGTTGATTCGGTTGGTCGGGAAAATCTTACAGTTGTTAGGATTGTAGAAACCTTTGACTGTGGCAACCATGAGTGAATTTGTTCCCTTAGAGCTAACTTCAAATAGACTGAAAAGTCTGGTCGAGTGAAATCCACGATATGTAAAACAAGCTGTAATACAAAAACTGCTTTTCAATTACTGTTTTGGAGTCCACAATTGGATGAACTGTTCTTTTTGTTCACAGTTTCACTTGCGTCCGCTGATCTTTCAATGGACGTTCCTCCAAGTGGCACAGGCACCCCACTCAGTTTGAAACCCGAGGGAGATGACCTAGATGTTCCCCGCAGTGAGAATGCTAGTCCCGCGCTTTCAGACACCTCCAGTAAAAGAGGAAGAGGCAGAGGCCGGGGGAGAGGAAGGGGGCGCGGACTTCCCACTGGTAGGGGACGAGCGTCATCCAGTATTCGAGGGACAAGAACCCGAACGCGTGGACGAGGAACAGGCGGAGCTCTTGCTGCTTCCGCAGCGGCTTCAGCTGCCGCCGCAGCTGCATCTGCTGCTGCGTATGCAGCCTACGGCTTCTCTTTCCAAGGAACAGGGACACCGAATCCTACTCCACCGCCCACGCGATCCAGTCCAGTAGCGTTTGGTGCCGGTGGTTCTGTTGTGTCAGGGTATAGCAACATCAGTCATCCGGTTGCACGGTACGACAGCTCCGCAGGGTACTCCCCTGGTCAGAGTGCGGAAAATAGCCCGGCTAGACCCTCGTCCCAGGCGTCTTCGCGCTTTACTCAACAGTCATCATCTCCGTCATGAAGAATATCTTGATCTATCTCCAAGTTTGTCGGAGAGCAAACAGACTTGCCATGGTCATGGAGCGTTTAACTCATTATCTCATCATGGTACAACCTTCCAAGCAAATCGGTTAACCAGCAGTCATGTTAGTTATCTTAACAGTGGAATTTTAAAATAATCTTCCTTGGGAACAAAAAGAACGTTCGACAACAGTAGTAGCGTGTCGGTATCAGTCTGTTTAGTCAGTCAAAACACTGTCCGTCCATGATACAGCAGTCATATGGTAGTTGGAGTAGCTGTAGACTTTCCGACGTAGTTACCTTACGGATAGAAATCTGACAAGTGATTATTCGGGACGGCAAAGATCTCATCTTGTCAAGAAGTGACAGGCAAAAACTTTTAAATCGGTTTTCCAGAAAATGTCACCGATAAAGAGAACCAATCAATGTCAATGTCTTAACCTTAAAAATGCGGCCCAAATCTCTAGTAATTGATTTAACACATTTATGGTCTGTAAACTGGAAAAGCTGATGCTCGATCATTCGAGAAACGAAATACGATTTGTACTCGCCCGATGACGGACTATGATTAGAGAATTAGAACTCTGGAAATGTATAAACTCTTTGAGGTATAAACTTTTCAGGAACGGCAAGCTACAATTTTCTTTTGGTGCCTGAAGAGGGCGTGGCCGGGTGTTGGACAGAGGTTTCGTTCCAAAGTTCCCGTTAACCGTTAGTACCAGTTACAGGGTTGCCTCTGATAGGATCAATCTGTTTTCTAGGTCAGGGTAAATTAATGAACTTTGCGAAAAAGGTAAATTGAAAACCAGCCGAAGTGGTAAAGCCCATTCTTCACACAAAACGCAACCATTTGAGCCCGAAATGCTTAAAGTCAAAAAGGAATTCCTGAACCGTTAGCCTGCCTTTGAGGCGTACATATCTTATATGGCGGAGCACTTCTTCCCTATTCCCAGGAGCACATCCCTCGAGGTGGAAAAAAATTAGAGACATTTCCATGTACATGTAAATAGAGCGGATGTCGCTGAAGTAAATAATTTATTCGTCAGGAATCATAATATTTGGTGGTAAGAGTCTTAGTTTGAGCATGAGTCAGAAAATGTCAAATAAATAGTGTTGAAATGGCAAATTTGTCCACTAAGTTTGTTTCCTTCCATTCTCCATTTTTGCTTCAACTGCGCCCGAGATCAAGCGGAAGTGGTTGTCAACGAGTACCTTCCTGCTAACCTTCTAGTAAAATTCATGGTACGCATATTCTTAAATTTACTGCGAAAAAATGTGAACGAGCGACGTTTGCTTCAATTTAACGCTGCAGAGATGGGGTTCCGTTGTTTTTAGCTTGTATGTTGAGTGTTCGTATCGATAAAACATGTAGCTGTACCCTTAAGGTTTTACTCAAAGCCGCTTATTACAGACACATGGATAATAACAAAACTTTGTCCCTTGGTGTTCAGTGAACATCTTTGAGTTCAAGTTGATTCATGTGTTTTGAAGCCTCTATCTTACGTTAACGTTTTTGGCTCGTCTTCACGCGTTTCTCTCACGTGTGGTAAAACGCATGAGGAAACCTTAGGCACGTGTATGCTAAGAAATTACCTCACGAGACACAAGCTTTCCGGCTAGATCACATGCAGAGTTCAATTGTTAATTTGTACCTTCACCTTTTTTTCGGAACACGTTACCATCTTCCGATGAAAAGAAACAATGATTTAAGGACCGATTGACACAGATCTTAGCCAATTGTGGAACAGGCTTTCCTGTTGCTTGGCAATTTCAAGGCGGTGACGTCTCATAAAAAACTTAACGCGTTTAGCTGCTTACCAGTGGACAAGAAAGTAGCCTGCGAAAACATCCGTTTCTCTTCGCTCGTCGTCGCTGAGGACAGGAGAAACGGATGTTTTCGCAGGCTAACAAGAAAGACACAAAAATGCAATTGTTGTACTGAGGTACAGACTTTTCTTCACGATGTATTCTCCACATCAAAAAACTTCATTTAGCAAGCAAAAATTTCATGTAGTTTTTATTAAATAATTCACAAAATTCCGCTATGTATACCCTGAAAATGAAACTCATTTTGGCCACATCACTTTGCAATGATTTTTTTTCTTGTTTGTTTGATCGTTTTTTCTTTCTTTCCAAAATATATCTAATGAATTCGCAATTGTATTAAGGTATCAAAAATTATAAATGAATCCCTTAACTAAACCCATAACATCCGGGAAAACGGTCACACTGTTGAACGCCTACGTGCGTTTGCGTTTACGCTAGCGCGCTTTTTAGCTAAGTCCACTTGAGTTTTGGTCTATACGAGCGCGCACCTTAGCTGAGTCCATGATGATGAAATCTCTGTGGATAAACCCAGTTCTTTTCGGACCAATTTCTCCAGTTCAAATAAATGTTCCTCGTGATAATGAGGCACTTTTTCACGCATAAAATCTGCCAGTCGAACAAGATACTCAACATTAAGTCCGCATTGCCCCCGGGCAGATGCAATTTGAACAGCGAGTTCTTCCGTTGTCGCCGGCCCCAAGTATAGCGAATTTTTTGGCGTAGCGGCATATACCAAAACATGGAAGCTATGTGAAGGGGTTTCGTTACATTTGAAGCGCAAACGACGGAGCTCATATCCACCGACCGCGATTTCGCGTTCATGAAGGTTTCCCATCGCGCGTTCGACGTGTTCTTTAGCCACTTTAAACGCCATGCCCCAAACTTGTCCCTGCAAAGAATAGAAAAGGTAAAGACAAAAATTTTAATTGATGTACTTCATGAGGATGAAATCCTAGGTTATTATTGAGCTTTTGTCCGAGATATAAGTACTGTAGGAGCTTAGCTTTTCATCAGTGAAGACAATGAACGATGAAAGAAAAACAAACTTAACAAAAAGGGCTACAGATATAATTCTACTGCTTCTGGGTTTAACTGACACAGGGTGTTTGTTGTATTTCTCTAAGAAAAACATAATTAATTTTTCATCACAACTGGAAGGAACGGGATAATGTTTTGTTAAATTTGTGTCGGACTTCTAATGCCAGGGTAATGCCAAGCGACGTTTCTTGAAATGTCAACAATCGAACCCAATTCGCAGTCGACCAGCTTAATTTAAGGACTTTGAAATTCGCTTCACTGGATATTAAGTCTATAAACGGCTTTTTAAAGTACGCTTTAAGTAAATAGTACTTTAAATAGACTATGGTGCTTAGTACTTTTAAAATTAGTTCGTCATTGCGGTATCTGGACTGAAAAACACCTTTAAAAGTTAATTGGTTTTGAATGCAAATGACACAAATGTGCGTTGTGAGGGACTATTTCTGCGTAAATACTACAATTTCCTGCATGTTAAGGATAAACAAGTTTTTTTTACTATGAGCTAGATACAACTAACGTACTAAGGTATAAAGTACAATAAATTTCGATTTGTTACGTACGGAAACTTGTTCGCAACAAACATAACATTCAACATATTATGCGTAGTAACCGCGAGAAGCAATGTAAGAAAGAAACCTTGTTTTTGTCTATCCAAAAATATATTCGACAGCTAAGTACAGTTTTAAAATGGCACACGATGGCAGATAGATCATATGGCAGGATAGTCCAAAAGGACGATACATAAATGTATTCAAATAAAGTGTAAACCTCCTTGATCACGGCAACCTGCCCACAAACTACGTATTTAAAGTTTTCAATCTTAAGATTGACGAAACTGACTGACATCGATGGTAAAAAGGTACATAAGGGAACACTTAACCTTTGTGAGCATGAAATTCTGCTACACTAATAAAGGTTTTTTTGTTAGCCTGATTTTGGGTCGAACACACTATCTCTCGGGAGCACCGAGAGATCAGTTAGTTACGGGATCAGTGACGGCTGTACCGTAGTTTCAATTCAGCACTGTGTGACAACAGGATCAGAAGAATAAGTACGTTCGATCTCGGTTCAGCAAAATACGCTCGCTTTTCTTGCGTTATGACTTCAGAATAAAACTACTCAGTTAGTCACTTTTGTGGAGAAAATAACATAGAGTTTTAAAACCTTAAAAAAGATGACATCCTGTATACGTGTTTAACAACTGGAAGTCATAGCATACCTGCTTATCCTCAACCAAAGTGACCACTCGCCCTGGCTACAAAAGAAAAACAACGCGTATTTTAAGACAAGTGATTTCAACCACAAAACCAAGGGGAAGAATTGTCGATGAAAACACTTTACCTGCTTCGTATCGCCGCGATGCCAAGTGCTTCCCTGCCAAAATCTCCGGGTAAATCCTTCGATGTGACCGACTACGCAATATTCGAAAGGAAAATCAGGTTTCCAAATCAAAGAGCCATAACCAAAGATCCAGAGACTTTTTGACGCCTCGTCTTTGTTGTTAGAGTGAGAACTAAGTTTCTCGAACATCCTCCTATATTAATCTGGAGATTTTTGAAAGTGTCGCGATAAGGGAAGCAAAAAAGGCAAGAACATTCCTCGCTATCCTTGGAATAAGACGAACAAACCGGTTATAATGCCAATGTTTACATCGTCACATGTGGTTGCACGCGCCTTTGCGATATTTACATATGGACCAATCAACAGTCGCGTAATCAAATAGTCGTATTCTAATTGGTTAAAAGGGAAAAGCCCACACGCGACCCACGCTTGGCTTATGCAATAGGAGGAATCAATGTTTATGTGTCAGGCGGGCAAGGGCAAAAAACTGGTTACAGAAGTAGAAAAAAGTAATATTCATAGAACGTTAACAGTGATAGGCTTAACATAATACCACTAATGGTTTCACTTTCCTTTGTGGTCTGTTGAGAAGGAAAACTTTATGATCGAGGCTTCTGGCTTATATTATAGTCACGTCTTAAAAATTAGCCCGTCGTGTTTTCTAGGCTGACTTTGTAGTACGCACATGACCATCACAATCGGTTGGTTTGGTCATAGATCAGCCATTCATATTTTTTGGGTCGAGGGGAGGGGAGGGAGGGTTAAGAAATATCACCCCAAATTTATGCATCGTCAGTCAATTTCAGCTTCGACCAGCACCCCCCCTCGGCTGCTTCCTCCCCGGGCTGACCCCCGGGCATTAGCATTTATTTTTTTGCCTTGGATGGCAAATTCCCGGGGGTGGGGACTCTTGAAGGAGTCAGAAGCGTACGCGCTGGGGTCGATAATGGGATTTCCAGCAAAATAACAGTAACGGCGAATGTCGAATTTTGGGCAGGCGAAGAAGCTACAGTTCAGTTTAGCGGACAGTGGTTTAACTTCATCTTGGAATATAGAGTAAAACAGAGTCTAGCCCAGAAGTGCAGAGCCCTCTCTGGAAAAAAAGCAGATGGTATCTCGTAATAATAACTTTATTTAACGAGGGTAAAGACATTGATTACTGGTCACCCAGTAGTTTTCACAATGGCCCTCCTACAATTAAAGTAATAAAAAATATCGATTAATTAATTAACTACCAATATAATCTACCAACTAAAATTACATAATAAACTACTATTAATACAATATTGATTAATTGACTACTAATGAAACTAAAAGGTTTTACAAATCTTAAAATGATCAAGAGAAGAAATCAAACTACGGTAAAGTTTAAATAAGTAATTTTTAAAATTAGTATGGGAGAGTGTCTTAGGTTCGGGATCAAGAGCGTTCCACAAACGGCAAGCGCTTGAGTGAAACGTTCGAAGGCCAGAGTCGGCTCCGGGGTCATGGACTCTTGAATTGGAAGATGGTACAAATGGAGAGGAATTGAAAGAAAGGCAAAACCAAATGAAGAACGGGATAAGAAATGGCAAAAGAAATAACATTTTAAACTGAGCGAAACTATAAATTCTCGTTCCCATGGCCTCTCCCTTCGTTTCAGGGTTACGAACAAGAATTGGGAACGAGTTTGCTAAACACTGATATCATGGATCAGTGGCTCCGATGAGTCGATTTGTTTAATCAACAAACAGTTAAGTGTTAAATATATTATAATGATCAGAAAAACGGCCGAACAAGAAATTCTGAATTAAAATTTTCACTATTAATCTTTGTAAAAAGGGCGAAATAACAGAAACTAAAAACCCTCTGGGTCCTATTTTTTTATTATTTTTTTTTAATGATTAGATCAGCTCAATCTGGCTTGAGCAATAAGTGTTACTTATACAAAAGATTACTTTTTGAGGAGGCGAATGTTACTATTCAATGTCCGAGCAGTAATTATGACTGATTACAAAAATATCAAACCAAACCTATGCTCCTCTAAACTTTTTATATGAAACGACGACAGCCAAGTCCGGCTGTTTTATCCAAGACAAAAATATAGGAAAACTTCAAGTCGCTTTTCTCTTTGCTGTTTTGTTATTAATGTCTATATGATCCTTTGCTAAGAAGGGCGGTTTCAGCTGCCTTGTGATAGCGGCCCAAAGGCGTTAATTATGACATTCATTAATTCGGAGTGCAAAGTGATGGGACAATAAGTTATCACACAGTCTCATTAAAACATTGGATCACCATACGTATCTGGGAAACTTCCCACCTACCCCTCCCCTAAGCCAACATTTTGCCTTAAGTGAGAAGTAAGTGTCAATTTTGGCTTAGGGAGGGGTAGGTAGGCAGTTTCCCGGAAACGTATCTTAATTGATTTTCTTACGAGGGACCCAGAGCCATTAGTATGTAGAGCGTAAAATATCTTATTATCTTATTAACAGTCGCTTAACAAAGGGCTGCCATTTCAAAAGATCTTAATGACACTCTATTCTGAACCCATGAGTTGTCAAGAGATTTCGCTGAATGTTCGATGCGAGATCAAAAATGGCGTTGTCAATTTTTAACGTTTTTTGGGCCTATATCTGGGTCTTTATATGGCTTTATCTTGTTGGTATGGCATTTGTGTTTGGTTGTAAGACTTGCAATAGCAGAGTAGAGAAACAAAAGCGATTATGGACCGTCCAAGGTCAGATTTTAGCGAAGCTTGATATGACACAGCCTCCTAGCGGAGAAAATTTTATGAATATAAGTCGCGACGTGATGCAGACATACAAGAGCGCAGTACACGAAAAAGACAAACTTTTCCTCAAGTCTAAGATGTGCCGTTCTCAAGCAGAATCGAGCGAGGAATACTTCGCAAAGAGAGTCGAAAGGCTTACATTGGAAAAGGAGTTTGCCAGAACGGTGAAATCAAGTAAGTCTGGACTGACTAGGTTGGTAAGCAAAGCAACAATACAGCGATAAGGAAGACTTCTGCATGATTTTAATTTCAGGTCTCTATTTTTCCTGGCCTGAATAGTAATGAGAGGAAGCAAATGGAAAGTAATTTAATGGAATAATCCGCTTCATTTCACTCGGAACAAAAATACAGAAGATCCTGTACAGATTATGAGCCAGAGGTTACGAGAAAACCTCTTGAAATGAGCTTGAAAAATCATTGGGCTTGGAAACCATATTGACCTATTTTTTTTGTAAGCAAGCTACCGATTAGATTCGTCGCTTGAGCTAACTATTAAAGACAGTGAAAACATGGAACGTAGTGGCAAGGAATCGCTTTTGCTGTTACAAACATAGCTTCAGGACATGTTGAATTTTCTTAATTTCTTATTCCGATCGTTAAAACGGTGTTATGTTACAGCAAATTGTATTCTAGAGGGGCGCAATATTAATAAACACCTGTTTGTATTGAATTGTTTTTGTTAACAAAAACAGTCAATATTATTCATTTATTTGATATCTGTGATTAATTTAACAGGTTCCGAAGAAATAATCGACGTCTACGAACTGAGATTTAACATCAGCAAGTTATTAGTAGATGTTGCCCGAGTGTCTTTTGGAGAGCTCCGAGTTTACCAAACGCCCAACAAACGACAGTCACATAATGGGGTTCGTATTGAGGTTTGTGAGTCCCATAACAACCACACCCAATGTGGAGGCTACAACACCCTCGACTCAGAATGGAGTCTCTCCAATGAAAAGAAGTGGGTTTCTTTAGACGTAACAGCAGTGGTGCAAAAATGGCTGTACGATCCCAAAACGAATGATCACGGATTAACTGTGACGGTGACAAGCACAGCGGGTGTGGACAAAGATTCTCACTTCTCTCCAATCTACCTTGGTGGAGCGAAGGATAAAAATGTCGGGAATGATTTCGAAGAACCATGGCCAAATATCCTTGTATGGTTCGTTCCTCGTGAGCGAGTGGAGTCCACAAGGCGACGAAGAAACAGGCGCTCGCTTAACTGGCGATTCTGTAAAAAGCGACCACGAGAGTCTCGCTGTTGCCTTCGCTCGTTGTACATCGACTTCGAGAAGGATTTGCGATGGAAGTGGATTCACGCTCCCAAAGGTTTCTATGCCAACTACTGCGCGGGGCGGTGCCCTTTTCTGTGGGGGAGCGAGAAACAGAACCATCATACGTCCATTATGGCCCTATACAATAGAATCAACCCAAACGCCCCTGGGGACCCCTGCTGTGTACCCAAGGAATATGAGCCATTGGTAATACTGTACTTCAAGGACGGACAGCCTAAGGTTGATGAACTGTCCAATATGGCGGTCAGTGAGTGTACATGTCTGTGAACGACTTACTGTATACTGTATTTCCTGCAGAGCTTATCAATATACCTCTTGTTGTGCTTAGAGTTCCCTTATCTCAGTCGGTCTGATAACATTTTATTTTTTAGCAAGCATGATTTCAGTTAGAGCGTTAAGAGATGATTATGGAATAAACTCGTATCAGGAATACCACTTTTTCTTTAAACTATTTTAAGTGCATGAAACCAGAAAACAGGGCACTTCAAATTTATCTATTCTAAGAAAATATATAAAAAATAGAATGGCTACTAGGTTTATCTGTGCGAGTAGGAACCTATCACAGATATCAGCTGTTCAAAATGTAAATATATCCATTACATGGAAAAGCTATTTCATTTCGTTTTTTAGTGTAGTCACTTTGTATAACTTCTTACAAGTAAAGGAAATTTACTTTTTCTTGTAAATACTGTATGTCAGTGGTATCACTAAGAAAGTGAACTTTCTTTGATTAAGAGGAAAATGTCACAAAAAACGTATTTGGTGAAGGTGTTGTAAAAAACTATAAATGATTTCATTTTCCAACTAATCTACAAACTTTAAGAGTAATTAAAAGGTGTGATCTTTTTTTGGGTGAAATCCTTCATGATTTCAGGCCTCCTCTACAAGGAAAATCTTTTAAGTGATTTAATTAAGGTGTCAAATCAGTGTCTGCACTGCACTTTACGGCAGAGACAACACTGATTTATCCCTTCAACTATCCCATTTAAATTGTATGCACTAATTCAGTAATTCAAATATTGGACTGCAAGACTGCAGTTATGATATTGTAAAGGTGACTAAGATTTTTTTCACTGGCCAAACTGGTCAGCTGCGACTGATTTGGCAGGTGGGGAAACGAAGGAGTCCTTTTTTATGTGTACAAATCATCCTCGTATGATATAGTGTGCTACACAGCGACTACGTATGATAACGGGCAGCTGTTAAAACGCCTTAAACGTTTTGATTTTTGAAATGGCATGAAAAACCCCCTGTCTTTTTGCCCTTTGTTTTTTCTCTATGATAGTCATAGTTCTACATAATAGTTGTTATTTCATGTCTGTCACAAAGAGAATTAAAATATATACTGGGACCACTTCCTGTCGTCTCAAGATTACGGAGACTTGATTAGTTTGTTTTAAATCTTAAGTCCGTTTAATTATAAGTAAGAGTGTCAGAAACACCACGAAAATTCAGCTTTACTAGTTCAGTGCCTTTATTGCAAGTGCAACTAAAAAAATATTTGCTTTAGTGCAGGTGAGGAAATAAGAGGTTAGTAAGGAAAGTACAGTAACTCTTTGCAAATTGATCTGACGGCTCTAGAAAGTGTCTTTTTTTTTTCAATTTACGAGATATATCAGTAAAAATAACGTCTGATGATCATGGAGACTCATCGTGACGTGCACTTTTGACTCAATATACAATATACACTGACTGATAATGAGCTAAGCATTTACCATTTGTTTAGCTTTGTTGGCATAAAGATAGGTTCCTACCGAACTCTTAGGAACGCCCAAGACTTTAACCACGTTATTCTGTCACTTAGGCTTGGTTCAAAATACCAAACACGCGAGGAAGTGCTTCACATACTATTATACTGTATTTAAACATTGATTTGTGGGTGGGACTGTGTACAAGGTATTTCAATCAATGATTAAAGATTCTCGGAGAAATTCCGAACAAAATTTCATCATATTTTAACTTAGTAAAATGACATTTCCAAACCAACGTTGCTATATAGCTACATTTATTTCTTTCGTTGTTTCTTCACGAATTATTATTAAGGTTGAGAAGGTATAGTAGTGAAAATTAAGAGTTAAAGCAGATTTAAGTCGCATCAGTTACATTGGCCGATCAATCCAAGCCAGTCAGACTAATAGTAAGTGCTTTAGTTCAGTATGATTTGTTGTTATTATAAAATACGAAGATTTGATCAATAACATTTGCAGCGTTTTATGGTGTTAATAACTTTAGGAGAGCCCTCCTTGGCAAACAGACGCAGTGGCGCGAAAGACTGAGGGCGGCATTTTCGTGCAGTGTCTCCACCTGGTTTTGACAGCATACAGACTTTTGGTGGCAGCTCGGAGCCTGGGGTCCACTCAGGATTATCTACCCTGAAAACAAGTTGGCTGAGTTAGAAAAAGATCTGATGGGAATCTCTCTAGTCTCCTATATATAGTAACCGTCATCATCATCATCATCATCATCATCATCATCATCATTATCATTATAAATAACAGTAACGGGCATCATTATATTAGAACAAACTTTCCTAGATGAGTCCAAATGAAAGTTATCTTACTAAATAACTTTTTGGGTTAGATTCTTACCAGTGAAGGCATTGCTGCTTATTCCTTTTGGGACATTTCCCAACACAACGTCCAATATCTACCACCTATAAAAAAGCAGTTACTCAATTCAATGCATGGCTGTGTACTCAACAAAGTGCCGTTAGTAGACATTAGTAAATCCTGATCTTATCGTGTCTTAACTTCAGCTCACCTTTTCCAACGTTTTGTTTCTATTCGTCTGCGCGTCAAATACGGTTGCAGTGTAAATTTGGCGGAATGACGCTCGATAGCAACCACGCACACAGCCACACCTTTGGATTTTTTGCACGCAATGAGCACCTACGAAATCACACAAAGTAGAGACGAACTTAATCAACTTGAAAAGCGCCATGTGTTCCTGAGCAATCCCTTTACACCCTTCTGCGGTTAAATAGTAGTATGCCCCAAGAAATGATAAAGAATTTACATAGGGATCAAATATACAAATGTTACAGATAATTGTTGAAATTTAACACTATTAGGATTACTTTTATACCTCTTATGATGGCTTATGGAAAAGGCCCTGGGAACGAGGCTGGGTCTAATTGCGGGAAAATGTGTTGCAACGATTTATGAATTGCTTTAGTTTTACTTCTAATTTTTTTGAACTAGAAGGAAGCCACGATATTTTGGGCCAACCACAGCGCGTAGGACAAGGCAAATGTCAGCTATCAATTTTGGAACATTGAGAACGTGTAACCTCTCTTTGTTTTCAGTACTATAAAAGTGCGAAGACAACAAGGCGGAAAACGGGAAAGTTCAAGCCTTCTATGTCTTTAAGTGTAAAAAGATATCAGATTGTAGGCATTTAATTATACTGGCATATCAATACATTTAGTTACCAAGCTATCAGAACAAACTCAAAGTATAAGAACACAGTCTTACCATTTGGGCCTTTGATGCTGACAGTTTTGGTGTCGATGGCGTGGCATGCTTTCGTCCCTGTGAAAAAAAAAAAACGATAGAAGAAGATACATTTTGCTGATGTGCTACCACATAACCCCTTTAGGTGCATTTTTCTAAAAGGCACGCTTCGTTCTTATTTAACGGCATTCCTTTTTTTACGGATATCACTTTTATTAACCTAAGAAGACAGCCGGCATTTCGCGACGCTAACACTGGTTTCCCCGCGAAATGACGTCTGAGCAACGACTGCAAAAATTCCATACAAATGATGTCTCAAGACCCAGGTCTCGAGGAAATCTGCTTCAACCAATCAGAAGCACTACCCAGATCTTGATTGTGAACGTCATCAGCATGGAATTTTCTCAGACGTCATTTCGCGGCGAAACCAGTGGTGGCGTCCCGAAATGTCGGCTTTTTTCTCAGGATACCCTTTTATACCTTTGCTGCATGAGCCAACGCACAGACCCACATCAACAGCTCTCTCATAAGTAGTCCCCCAGTTGAGCACCTGGATGTTGGGCACCCTGTAACAAGAGCGGCGAGGATCGATGCACCGACAGCTAACAGCGCTTGTGGACTCTCTGAGGCCATCTAGCAAAAATACTTCCTCAAGTAAACTTTGGTTGGCCACACACATCTGAGGGGCGGAACAAGGCTGAAATAATTAGAGACATTGGATTTTCATTTATTTTGTCATTTTCCCGTAATATTTTATCCTTCATAAAGATCATAATGTGTTTCTAGAAAGCTGCCCACCTACCCCTCCCCTAAGCCAACATTTACATTTACTTCTCACTTAGGGCAAAATGTTGGCTTAGGGGAAGGGTAGGTGAGCAGTTTCCCCGACCATTCTTACCACTCCATTATGTTGCTCATGGGCTCTTGTCAATGACGAAACATGAGTGATCCGACAGAAATTGACCCGCCTTTGTTCAACTTGCAAGTTTACTCCTGAAAAGAGTATTAAATCATCATCAATCCATATTGAATCCGACTGTAAATTTCTACGAGCTTCAGGCCTTACAAAAATCACCAGCCAACGACGCTATCTTGGGTTTAGACTTAGGGGCGTATTTTTGCTTAAGTAAGAACGCGTGAGCGATCAAACAATCTGTCATTGTTCCCTCCTCTTATTTTCATGAAAAATAAAAATACCAACTGGAAGGGTGCATAGTGAGCCACTTGGCTTTTCACAAACCGAGATTTTAGAAACGCAAGCAATTAACAAGAATATAGTCCACAAACATAGGCACATCTTACCAAATCGGGTAGCCAATCAGAAAGTAGGATTCGCTTTATCTTACCGTCTCGCGCAGCCGGCTATAAATATTGACAATATGGCTGAAAGAACTAAGGTAAAGCCACAACGTCAAATACACTGTAGGGCAAACAAATTCTACCACCTGTTTTTATTTCAATTTTGTCACATTCTCTTGGTCACGCCTTGCCTGGAACTTTTAATTTAGCTAGCATATGGCAATAGGTACTTGTTCTTTTTCACTTTATTGTCATGCAACTTGTAAACTGAAAAAGGAACGCTGGTTTTTCCCACCCTGTTGCACAAGCGAAAAAAAATTAATACCACCTACGGGAAGTTCTATAAAAAATAAGGTTAGAAATTTTGAAATAAGAGATTTTTCTTACCTTGTCCATAATGACGCGTCTCACTCACCAATCCACAAATGGTTGAACCTTCCTCAGGAAAAGATTCGCCGTAATTGAACTGCCGGTTATTTTGATCTTAACAAAAACGGAAAAAAATTTTAAAACTGAGTGAGTTCTTTTACATATATTTCTGTTACTTTAGATCCTTATCGTTTAGTCCAAAAATCCCATATTTTTTCCTCTACACGCTGACCAGTGAGATGAACCGTTCCCTGTAGTCGAAACCGATTTGTCTCATTCCAGCAATTCCCTTTATTCAATTAAGAAATTTCATGGAACAGGAGCCACAAGTATACTTGAAATTGAAAAAGTAAGGATTAAAAGAAAGACCCATGCATTGACATTTTTAAAATACACTGAAATACATACCATTTTCCAGCTTTTTGGTCTTTGATACTTTAATTGATCCGCTCCTGGCAAACTCTGAGTTTAGACGGCCTCCGACAAGAGAGACTAGCAATGAAATGATTAAAAACGATAACATTTTTTAAATCACTATTTTGACATACGCGTCCTGACTCTAGCTCGTGACTTGAACAATTTGAAAAGCTGTTTTAACGCCGCAAGCTGAACAGATCCCCCGCGTTTGTTTTATCGAAGTAATGTCAGCCCAGGATTATATCGGAGGGCGTGACCGTTCATATTGAAATGAAATTTTGAATACAATAGAACTGCCTCATTAAAGATGATAATGGACATTGCTGATGACTTATTGAACCACAGGCCAGTAAGTCAGTGTTAAAACATTGTTGTAAATAGGACAGCATGTTTGCAGATTAATACTATTTTAATTGTCTTAACTAAAATTTAAATTTCTAGTCTCAACGTATAACAATTCCTAAACAATTTACTGAGATAATTTATTTTTCCTTCAAATTCTCTGGCTTGACTTTGAATTCATGCTGAACGCGAAACTGTACCTTGAGGATCTGTCTAACAGGAAATTAACTTAATCCTAAGTAGTTAAAATAAGTCTGTATAGTGTGCGTATTGTGACGATGTTGTTGTATCTTTATTAAATCACGTTTTAAATCTTCTTTTTTGTCGCCTGATACTCAGACTACTTTTTTCTCTCTTTGTATCACGCTTGGCTGAGAAGGACTGGAACTACCCAAATGTACGCTGTTCAAGTTCAAATCGGCGATCTCGGGCGCAGGAAAGCAAACTGAACGCTCAAAATAATGGCGACTGTCATTATTGCTGCTTGGAAACTAACTCTTTTTTGCTTTTCTCTCTTTCTTCAAGGTAAGTAATAAGGTTTTAAAGTTTCGATACGATTAATGGTGATTTGCTGTACTTAAAGAGCTACTTTTGGAGAAAAATACTGATGATTTGCATTGTAACTTGTTGAGAATAATCTCCGTTCAAAAGCGTTTGCTTTGTTTAACTGGAAACATGTAAACAAAGAAAATATCCTTTGTTGGAGACATGTTCCTTGCAGAATGTCTCACCACCGCTTTGCAAGAAAAGAAAAGAAAAAGAAAAAAAAAGAAAACGGAAATAAAACAGGTTTTAGCTGAAGTCTTTGAGGGTTGTCCATATTAATTTATTTGTTACTGTAATAGAAGCAAAAGCTTGTGCATGCCACACGTAACAGCTAATGTTTGTATGATTCGAAATTTGCTGAACCTTATGGTTAATTTTTCTTACTGATACTAAGGCTTGCTAAGTCTTGCAATGCACGCATGCATTATCAGCTGAGGAAAAAAAAACAAATGTAGTTATTTTTGCAGCATTTGTTACTGGTTTATCATCACTGGCCATAAATGCATCCTCTGTCGAAGTTGGATATTTATGGGAGAATCCAAGACTTGAAAATGTCCACACTTCAGAAGTAGTCATGGACATTGAACGCAGCGGAAGCATTCTTCGACTGATTTGTGACATCACGCCTCCTCTACCGCAAGATGGAGAACACTGGGATAAAAGGGATGAAATTGTTAGATGGTACAAGACTGCTCCTAAAGCTGAGCCTGTGAAAAGTGTACGTTATTGGTCCAACGATATGTCAAAGACTGCTATATCATTCTCAAATGTCACCCTTGATACCCTTGGGACCTATTCTTGCATTTATGGTGATATATCAGCTTCAATTGATGTGTTAGGTGAGGAAGTCAATGGCAGAGTAAGAGAAAAATTTTACTATCCACTTGTCCTTCCGACAAGCACTATATTACCGTATTTATTCGATTAACCGCCCTGGGCGCTTATTAAATTTTTGGACCTTGAGAGTGGGCGCTATTCGAGGTGGGCGCTTATTCGAGGCTGGGCGCTTATTAAATTTTCACCATTTTCAGCAAGTGAAGTATGTTTATTTTGCAACAAAACAATAAATGCTAATAACAAAACGCGAAGAAATAACAAAGCAAGGTTTCCGTAAAATACTCTCAAGAAAACTCCGTCCTCGGGAAAGTCTCTTATTAGAATTTATTCACTCAAGTGGGTGGGGTGGGGGTGAGCGCTTATTTGAATTTGATTGGGAGGAGGAGGGGGTGAGCGCTTATTTGAGGTGGGCGCTAATTCGAGGTTGGGCGCTTATTCGAATAAATATGGTAAATTTGGTTGTCCAAAACCCAAGAGTCCTTGTCCAAAAAGTTTAGCTGGAAACTTGAAACTCAAAAACAATCTTTCATTTAATGTTTATCACATTATTGTACCCTTGTAAATTGTTTTTGACTTAGACCTAAAACAGAGCTCGTAAGAACAAATCAAATAACTGTGGAATGGCGAAGTTAAAAGGAATCTCTAACCTTATTTTGTCAAGTATGAGGTTTGCTTTTATGATGTTTAAGATGAATTTTAATTCTACTTTAATTTGAACTGTTTCTCTATTTTTCTAATTAAAAATGTGCTTGTCCCACAGACAAGTGACGTAAAAGGTTTACATTTCCGAACTGAATTTCTACCTGTGCTGGACAATCATGCAGACATAGGTTTTAGCACACCCTGTTTTAGGGTAATGGGAATATTGTTGTTAGAAATGATTTTTCAGTCACCTTGTACAGTATGGTTTGCATTAATAGTAATTTTCTACTATTTAACCTTCAAAGTTAAACCTTAGTCTTGATTATTTCAAGATTAGAAGTAAAACATGATTGTTAACTCTCTGAGATGCTTATATGTTACCAGTCCTAAACTTCAAAACTGGTCTAATAACCAACTTTTTATCTGAAATTTTAAATTGTGATGCTAACCTTAAATGTTTTTATTTACCTCTAGTGGAAAATGTGGAAGCTGCAAAAGCTTTGAAAACGCCAGAAAACTTGAAGGAACTTAAATCTTACGTCTTGTACATGAAGGATAAATCAGGGATAAGTGGATGGACAAAACAACAGCAACTCCTTCAGGTAAAAGTATTTTCAGTGGAGTATAAAATCATTTTATCATAAAAGGGGAGTATCTTGATAGGTACAGCTGCCTCTGCCATGGTAGGAATAGCAGTGCAACTGATTGTGTTGTAGATAAAATCTTTCCTCAGGTTAAACAGAATTTCCTTTGTCTTCTGTACTATGGGTACAGTTACACAGGAAAAAAATAACATATTCCCAATATATTTGGATATTTTAGGGTATTTAAAGAATACTCACAAAAATCCCAAATTTGGCAAAGTGAGACAAATCCCAAACAGGGAATTCCCAACCAAGTTCCCTGGTTGGGACTTGTCTCACTCTTCCAAATTTGGGATTTTTGTGGGTCTTCTTTAAATACCCTAAAATATCCAAAAATGGGAGTCCGTTATTTTTTCCTGTGTTAGAAGTAGAAATTTTGAAATAAGCTTACTATAGGTGGAATACTGGTGAAATCCTGGCAAGTAGTCAAAATGTATTTTACCCAAACCACATTTACAGTGAAAACATCTACATACAGGTACATGTACGTCTTAGTTAAGGGGTGAGTGGAAGAAGGCCCTGTATGAGTCCTGATCCAGTGACAAATTCTTTCTTTGATTCATGAGCATATACAAGGCAAATATGAAAGGAGAATCTAGCAATGATTGGTCACTGAGGGTTACAGCTGTACCTTTGTTTTTTTGGCAAACCCTTGAATTTGTCTCTGGTGACTGAATAAACCTGCCTTTAACAGCAACTTCCATAGCACTATTTTCCACTAACCATACATGTAAGTACATAACTGTAGAGTGGTACATGCCAGTAGCTCTGTTATGGGTTCATCATCATCATCATCATCATCACTCTTTGAGCCAAAATGTGGTTAAGACCATGTCATTAATTCAGAGCACATGTACACACACTGTCAGATGTTTTGTTAGTGCTCTGATTACCTTGTAAGGGAAACATATATATATACCAGTGATATCATGATAATTATCACTCTGTTTTGTTCATAATAAAGCCCACTGGAACAACAGAATACTGTAGCCCATTGCCTAGGAGGTTCAAACAAAGCCCAAGCTCAGGTTGGTTATACTTTATGTTGTATCCCTTAATATTTTGTCTTTTGTATTAGTGATAAACTATAAAATGAACAGTACATGACAGTTTGGCCTTCTCTAAGAGTAACCACAAGGGCCTCAGGCACCCACATGTGTAACTCTCGCCTTTCTTTTGCATGAGACAGTTAATTACTTTGTCTAACTTATTATTATTAATATCTATTTAAAATTTTTTTTCAGTTCACCAATTACAAGTATCAGATATCAAAGTTATTGCAACAATGGGTGATGCATTTACAGTAAGTAACATGTTTAACTTACTGTTGTGTGTTTATTTACCAATGAATAACTGAAAAAAATTATCTTTTGTAAGTCAAGCTGCTTGTGTCAAGTACATGTTGGTTTTAGAAGTTGTACCACTGCCTTTTGCATTCAAAATATTCATTCTTGATGAGTATTTTGATGAAATTATTTATGATTATTTTTTTTTCCAAGGTTGGTCTTGGTGCACAAGCCTTGTCGCTTAATGGGTTTTTTACTGATTTTAAAGGAATCTCATGGAGGTAAGAGTTTATCATATATTACTACCTTATTGTTGCTTTTGATTTCTAAATAATGTGGATGCTTTCACCCAATGACTGTGTATTTTCTCAAAAACTTAATTCATCTTATGGCTCAGTGAACAATTGAGTGAAAAGTGCAATATTTTATTTCTAGACAGTGTTCATCATGAGCCAGTGTGTAGGTTTGATATTGCAAACAAGTCATTAATAGGGTTTTAACCAACAACACCACAGTCAAGTATTAATTTTAGCTTGTGTTTGATTGGGTATCATCATTTTATGTGTTTTAATCAACCAGATTGCTGGAAAATTTATTGTCCTCTTTTAAGACAGACAGTTGACTAAATTATAATAATTATAATTTATTATTACATGCTCACCAGTGTCAAGTTGTGTGATCAGTTTTCCCTTATTTTTTTTTAATTTGAAGCATTGGAGGGGAAGGATATTTGAACCAATCCACAACTTTACCAAGTGAGTACCATTTATTAAGGCTGATTTAGACCGTACTACAAGTGTTGTATGCAACTAACATGTCATGACTTTCGACCATCCACACGTGCACAGTTTTCACTTATGACGTCCACAATGTGTCATACGAATGTCGTGGGTCTAATTTACATGACACGATCTGTTGTGAAGTCATGATGCATGCTAGTGGCGCGCACGATAGTCGAAAGCAAAAATTGTACTGTCTAAATCGGCCTTTCGTATGAACATGTATGTATTTACCCATGTTTTATGATTCAGTTTTGTCCATGGTTTAATTTATTTTGCTTTCTCTGGTTCATTTTGGATTAATTTACCTTAAATCAATGGCACTTTTCCAGTATATGCAGGATGTTTTTGAACTAGTTGTGTTTGTGACTTTAAATCTTTAATAAAACTTACCTGACCCCAAGAGAGCAATATCATCAAAAAATTTAGAAGTAATTTCTGAATTAGCAAAACAAAAGCATTTTGACACAATTGATTACTAACAAAATCATTGGTTTTTCGACTGGGACTCATTGATTCTGGACTACACTGTTGGACTTGGTTTTCATCAATTGGTTTTTCATGATATGACCCCTAGCACTCAATATAGTATACAGTCGACTCTCTCTTAACGGACACCTCTATAAGACGGACACCTCTGTAAAACGAACACCTAGAGTTGGTCCCTGCCTTTGCTTATTCCCTTTATTTGACTCTTTATAAGACGGACAACTCTCTAAGACGGACACTTAGTGCCGGTCCCAAAGGTGTCCGTCTTGGAGAGAGTTGACTGTAGGTTATTTGTAACAATGCACTGTCCAATGTATGTACACATCCTGTACACATACTTTTGTGGACTGACTGCGTCTGGGTCACCAAGGATGATTCAAAGCAGAAATTATATTGAAATGCTGGCAGTAATAATAATTACTATTATTGTTCATTCTATACACTTACAGATATCATCAGACAGTTTAATCCTTTACTGAAAGGTGCATCAGTAACAAGTCCGTCAATGGACAACATCCCTTATAATGATGATCTGAATGTTGCCTTTGTTGGAGCCTCAGCAAGGTCAGAATAAATAAAAATAAACATTTACACTTGCATCATGTAGAGTAATGTAGTACTTATTTTTATTGCAACTTGTATGTGTAGTTAAAAAGGCAAAATTTGTCTTATTCTTTGATACTTTCATTAGAGACCTTGAGAATCAAGCAAAAGACTTGGTTTCAAGATTGAAAAACATGAAGGTACATGTACATGTATTATATGCCAGATTTATGAGTGTCCTTGGGTTTGTTTAAGAGTGCATTCAGTAAAAAATGTAATTAACGGTTTTTCTTTGTTTTGCTAATTCTTAATTAGAACATTGATTATGAAAATGACTGGAAACTTCTCACCATGTGGATTGGAACAGAGGATCTCTGTCAAGTTTGTTCAGACATGGTATTATTGCTTTGAGTTATGTAATCAAATTAAATTAATCTGTGTCTTGTTTTGGGGGCTTATCAATTTTATGGCTTGTATGTTCATTCAGTTGAAGCAGAAGCATATAACCCTTCTGGTTAAAGTGCTAGTCATATAAATTCAAGGAATCATGATTAAACACCTGTTTTTCAAAGGTGGTGGAATGATTGGTCTTGAATTTCAAATGGTTAGAGTGCTGGACTTGCAATAGGGACTCCCCGGGTTCAAGCCTGTCAGCTGAGTTTGTTTTTGGCAGTCCCACGTCTTGCTCTCTGCCAGTTGATACTCTAACTTGTTATGCTTGTTTAGATATATATTTTTTCTTTCTGTCCTTAATTGTGGGCCACATTTTAAAAACTATGCAGTTACCAGAAAATAATTTGTGTTATCAATGAAAAGTCTAGACTACGAGTAGTCCCCATTTTTCCTCAGGGATAGTAGAGCGAGTGAAACGCGAGCGCCCATGAAAATCACCCCTCGTGAAAAACAGGAGAAAGCCCGCTGGTCTCGCCGCATCTCACCTTTCTCCCGTTTCTTGTGGGGTGATTTTCAAGCGTGCTCGTGTTTTGCTCACTCTACTATCCCTGAGGAAAAATGGGGACTACTGGTAGTCTATCAATAGTCACAAAGTTTTAATTTTTATGTTTTCAGGATAAACTTGGCCCAAGGTCTTTCATAAAATATGTGATGCGCACTCTTAATTACCTGAAAGAGGAGGTATGTTAAAATATTTAACTTTTATTTTCTCTCTAGTCTTTCATTTTCGTAGAAAAAATAAATCATACTGGTTCGTTATAAGTAATTTCAGAGTCACATTACTCTTCAGAGTCACAACAAAAGCTAATGTCACCACACTCCTTAGATTGACAACACTCTTTACAGTCACGACACTCGTTAGAGTCACAACACTCAATTAGCTACCAGTAATAGGATCAATGAGGCCTTTATCAGTGCGATGTAGGAGTATACCCAGTTGTTTTGTTTGACTGAACAGGTACCCCATCTGTTTGTCAACTTGGTCCCGCCCATGGACGTGTCTCTACTTTATGAATTGCATGGTGGATCTACCAAGTCCTGTGAAATCATGGGCTGGTGAGTGAAATAAAGAATGTCTAGTAACACTGCTTTGGCATGGTGTGATAATATGACCATTTCAGCTGCCAAAGTTGCATAATTTTTATCCATTATCTTGTTGCCGGTTCCATTATCTGGGGTAAACGTTTTTGGCTTGTTTCAGTGATTTGAACCACTTTGATTTTATAAACTAGTCGCTGACATTGTAGCAATTGTCAGAAACTTCAACTACCGTAGTGAAAACCATCAGCATGTGATATATTGGATTTGAGGCTAGGTTACAGGTACGCAGTGTTTCCAAGAGTTGTGCAATCAGTCTGGTACACTTAATGTGAACTGTGGTTTTTCTGAAACTATTAGTTGTTCAGTTAATTATTAAAAGTAGTATTTTCTATGAGTTATAATCCGTGGCAGTAGTCTACACCTCCCCTTACCTTTTTTGTTATAAAGTAATACTCAATGTAATTGTTGTTGTGTTGTTTTTCTTTCAGGAATTCATGCCAGTGCTTGAAGAAAGATGGCGACGAGAGGGCCAAAATTTCCCAAGCTGTGAAAAATTACAAGGTAACTTGTCGTGTAGCTCTAATAAAGGTGGGACATCTGATACAGAATAAAACTTTGAAAAACCTTGAGATCTCGTTTTTAATAGTGGGTTAACATCGTTTAGAATTTGTGATGTTCTTGTAGGAGGTGTCTTTGTGATTAAACGTTTATTTTTTTTACCGTTTTTAGCACCTTTTGATGGAACTAGTAAGCAGTGGTCTTTATGACACACAGAACAACTTTGCGGTGGTTATTCAACCTGCTCTTCAACTGCCTCCGAAAACTAAGGTAAGTTGTAGGCTGCTCTTTTGCTATTTAATTTATTTTCCGTTATCTGAGTGTTCATAGATAACGTGTCGTTGTCAGACTGAAAGTAACGTATTCCATTTACCCAGATGTCGCTCATGTAGTTTATTGATCTTTCTGGTAATAAGCGGAGCTTGTTGAGCATGATCTTGAAAAAAGGCCGACGGCTACCCTGTTGGCGGTTTTTTTCCTAAGGATCCTGCAGGGGCACCCAACGAGAATATAGTTAAACATAGCATTGTTAAACGTATTTTAGTATTTAAACGGTAGATATAGGCATATTTTTATTCCTTAAAAATTTTTCATCTGTTCGGATTTCCTAGCTGAAAGTCTCGAGATCCGAAAATCATAGGGATCAAAACTTACCTTTTCGAAAATTTCAGCCAGAAAAAAGGCTCCCGAAAATTCTAGGTGAGCTTTTTAGGGTAAAAATCCGTTAAAAATGGGCAATTACACCAATTTTTAGATGTTCGAAAATCCTAGGAGAGGTAGGCAAGCAAGAAATTTTACAAAAAATGTTCCGAAAATTCTAGATCTCAAATCGTCTTCCGAACAGATATTTTCCGAAAATTGACGTTGGGTGCCCCTGATCCTCGGCTGTTCACGGATTAAGACGGAATTTATAGAGCATTTTCACACTCGTAGCCAGCCTTTATGAAAATATCTTAGAAAAAAGAAAACTTTTACGTAAGAAAGGAGTTCAACTCCCACCAGATTTTCTTGGTACACCAACATGGCCACTGTTTCGTTGTTTTGAAACACCAATATGGCCGCCGCGACGTCATGTGAAAAACGCTAAATAGTTTAACTGTATTGCACCAGCGCGGGACTTTAAATACCTTTTCCTTAGCCCCCCAAATTAAAGGCCGCTTAAAGAAAGACTTCAAATCATAATCTCTTCTTTCAAAGGGCATTTATATAGCTTCCCACCAACCAGGGCTCGTTATCATCTATTGAAGGTAAAGCAGAAGTATTAAATCATTATCTTTACCTTTTCTTCTTGTAGGATGGAAAGTTATTGGAGGAATTTTTCGGCTTGGATTGTCTGCACTTTTCAGCACAGGGCCATGCGGCAGCAGCTCTAGCCTTGTGGAGAAACATGGTATGGTATGATCTTAAAACAACGCCTATGTTTTCCTGTTCATCCATTTCTGGTTCTCTGTTTTCTTTTATTAAGCGGCCTCGCATCCATAGCCTGGGTCGCTGTCACCAAAATAAGGGTCAGGGGAGGGAGAGGGAAGAAAAACGCTCGTCTCTCCCCAATCCCCCTCTCTTTTCCCTTTCCTCCCCAATCCGCTTCGACGTCTGCCATGTAGGCTTCACTGAAATTTTGGCGTCATTCATGATGCTATAGCTTCCCGTTAACAAGGGAGTAGCTATTCTGTAATATGCGTCTAACATAAGAATACGCTTAAGGTTCAGCCGGGAAGGTCTCTATATCAATGATTCTCATGACCTGTCTGATTGATTAAACATTTATTTTTTCAAATTAAACTGTTAAATGAGCAGCACTCGAAAGACGTGAAACTTATAAAAGCGATTTAATCTCCTACGCATTTCGTCACATATCGCGAAGATCATCAGGAAGTTCTATCTAAGTAAAAATTAAAATCGTTAAGTGTGGAAGTGAGTTTACTGATAGGCTGTGGGGTCAAGCTTCCTACTGAAGCATGTTTATAACACGTAACATGTTCATTTATCCACTGTTTGTAGTTGGAGCCGTTTGGTTCTAAAACAAAAGGCTGGGCAGATCAAGAAAAACTTAAGTGTCCCACAAAGGTTTGTATCAAACTGTACCAGATTTTTCAATTGACTTAATTCATGTCCAAAGCAAATGGTCTTGTCTCAATGTAGTTTATCAGGTAAAAGTCAGAGTAACTGTTTTCATTCTGATGATTTTTTTCAATGTAGCCGTTTACCGCTTCTCTAGAGCAGGTAAACGCCTTTTTATAAAAGCTGGCACTTCCACTGTTTATGTTAAGTAAAAAGTACTTACATCTCTGTAATGCGGACACTTGGCTCTGTCCATGGCATAGGGCTGACTATTACTTTGTAACTTTATGTTTTCAGGAAAGCCCATACTTATTCACCAAAACAAACAGTAATACAGTTATAAGTGAACTGATCAGTGACGATGACCAGGACTCCGCCACAGATGACTTCCCTCCTGCCGCCGCTGTAGCGTTAGCTGTGTGTTTAACAGCTGTTGTGGTGATTGTTGTTGTTTTTGTGTGGAGAACCCGGAAGTCAAGACCAAGACCAGAAGCAAGAAAACATCTCTATGCTCCCGGACCACACAAACCAAGGATTTGATTTACGGGCGCGCTAATGTAGAAATAGTCTTTTAACCTGCCCAGAGCGCTATTTTTGGTTCAAGCTCTCTTATACCTTCAGCCCTCGTCGGAGCAGACGATGGAAAGAGAAGGGAAAGGTGTTGAATCGAGCGGCTCCCGCTTCTGGTGCCCACTCGCTTCTCCCTTTCCGTGTTTTCTCCATACTTCTCACGCACCTACAACGCCACTTCAGTGAGAACTCCGTTAAACAATAAGGCTTAATTGCCTCTGCACATACGGTGTATAATTCAGTCCAACTGTCTGCCATTTCTATAAATCAACAGTGATATCAGACGGTAAAATTCTCGCTTTAAAGTGCGCACGAAGACAGGACGGTTAGTTGTCCTTTCTCAGTTTGAACTTGAAGGAAATCAAGCCCGGATTCAAAATTAGATGATAAAATAAATTAGTTTGACAAGCTCTTATTTAAAGAGTCCAGCATGTTTTGACCTAAGTATTACAATTGAACAGCCCGGCAATTTTTCAGACATGCTTAAAGAACTAAAATGAGGTACTTTAGAAACAAGAAGAAAGAAAAAAAATAAACTAGTACCTAACAGTGAAACAAAGAACGCGTAGAAGTGAAACCTGAAGTTAGAGACTGTGCAATAATTATGAGGAGGCGGAGGTTGAAAAATGGGCCTTACATAGAGTAATATAACGCCCCCTGCCAGGTAAGGCAAGTTAGCTCTGAACCCTCCTGGTCACTTAAAAATTATGACCAGCCGCCCCTCCCCCTCCCCTCCCCCCGGACTTACATTCACATAAATTTCCTCCTTTTGTAATGTACGGTTTTTCGACGTTTGCGTCTGGAACAGTACCTCTAAACTACGCTCCACAAAGCCCATCATTTCATAATAGTGCGATTGCGCATCGTCTTCTCAATCAAGAAGGCGGGAGGCGTCCTCGTAAGCCGCGATTCGCACAGTCTTCACGTGAGCTGAGCTGAGCTTGTCCTGAAGGTCACATGACACTTCCTTTTGGCGAAAAATGTCTTGAGACTTATGGTTATTCCTTAAGAGGGGACACTACCTTGATGACATGTATAGATGTTTGAACTTTTTGAAAAGTGGGAAAAGTTTTTTACCCTAATAACACGGTAAAGACGGCTACGTACATGCCGCCGCTAATCCCTGTATAACAAGGATAGCTCCTTTTCTGTGTCTCCTCATCTTGTCATCAGGCCTATTTATTGTAAGACTCGCTCCCACGAGCGGGAAACATCCTACGTACATCCTGTGTTCTAACTAGCTTTCCTGTGTTGAACAACTTTTTAGGGGAACTAGCAAGTTATTCAACAAAAGGATGAGGCTTTTGTTTTCTTTGGACGCTTTTATTCGTTGCGATTTTTACTACTTACTAGCAAACAATTCTTTCCGATCAACGACTAGACTTGACACCTCCTTCAATTTTATATTGACTATAAAACCCACCTGCTTTGAGAAAATCAATGCTTACGTAGGTCCTCTGCAATTGGTCAGAACAGACTCAATTACATTTAACTTTCGAACTGCTTACTCTTCAAAGCGATTTTCTTTCTTAATTTCGCCGCAAAGCTTGGCTTGTCCAGACCATATAAAACAAGGAGGGCACTATAAAAATTACCAAACATTTGCTTAAACGGAAAATTTTTGCAACAGAAAAGCACTAAAATTATAATTGAAAACTATGAAAACTAGTTTAGTTTCCATAACAGGCGCTTTATGAGCCAAGCGAGGCGAACGCGGCATTTTGCCTGAAGCGCGAGACGAGGGAGAAGAAACTATTTTTTTCTCCTCCCCTCGCGATTTGTGCTTGTCTCGCGCTTCGCGTAAAATGCCATGTTAGACTCGCCTCTCTCATAAAGCGCCTGTTATGCAGGCTACATAGTACGTCAAGCTTCCTAATCGAAAATGAGACCGCTGCCTCCCTTTATCTCAAGGTCTGGATGACCGCCCCCCCTCCTATCTGAAGGTCTGTATTCACCACTGCTCGAGAACACCCACTTTGTCCCGCAAGAATACATATTGATTTAACCATATAACAAATCCTTCATTGACTAAACTTGTTCGGTCAAGATATATGAATTATTGACCAAGCGTGAGGTAAACACGGCTGGATATTGACCTCGTTTTTTTTTCCGCAGATTTATTGTCTTCGACTTATTCGTCTCGGTCTATGAACTTTAAACTTTATAATAAGATAATAATCATTTCTAATTGACCAAGCTTGTTCGGTCAAGATGACTGGATATTGACCAAGTTCCTCTTTTTGCGTATTATGACCGCAAAAGAGAACGGAGCTAATATGCAAACATCTTGACTGAACAAGCTTGGTCAATTATAAAGGATTTATTGTGAGATCAAAAGGAGAACTCCCTTTCTCTGGCGCAACCAACGCGGGAAACCCCAAGCGGGTAAGATACTCTCATCGTGACCGCTCGTAAAACCACTCAGGCCCCGTTTATGTGAAGAAGAGTTAGATCCATCACCCCCCAGACCGTGCCAAGTTTTGCGAGCGTTTATATGATTAAAACGTTGACCCTTTTGCCTTTTGCCCGGGCCAGCAGCTCTTGCGCATGCTCTGATTGTCTCGTCTTGACTGTACTGAGTTGACCTGGCTGGGCAAGCCAAGGTGTTTGTACGGAGAAAAGTTGACCCGGCTTGTTGGGTTGGCCAATAGGTTTTTCGGGATCCGGGATTTCCCGATTTTTCGAAGCTCGGGTTCGGGATTTGAAAGTTAATTCGGAATTGAAAGTATGCGCTGGAGGTGGAATACCAAAAATAACCCTCGGGATTACGGGATTGTAGAAAATTGTGTCGGGATTGCGGAATTGAAACCGCAGTCAAATTTGTTCAAAACGCATAGATATTGTTGCCGGGCTCTAGTCCATTTTCATTTCTCGGCATTTTCTTCAATTTTTCCACCTAACTGGACTGCAAAACAGTCGGTTGTTTTTTTCTCAAAACCAGTTTTCAACACGCGAAGAGCCGGCTTAAGATATTCGCGCGCTGCAGACCGTTCCTTTGACCGGTCTCACGTTCTTGGCCTACGCGAAAATCGGCGGGATATTGAAGTCTAATGCCTGACAGTTCCGATCCCTATCGATAATTTAGAATAATTAAAAAGAAACTCAAACTCAAGGTGACCCGTCGAAGAACGAAAATTTATTAAATGAATAACTACTGTAAAGCCTCTATTAAGCACCCCCCGGTCCCCCCTCTCAAATAAGCCCTCTCCCTCTAATAAGGGCCCCCTTTTTAGTGGAAGAAAGTTAATAAGCCCCCCGCCCCTCCCCTAATTATTCTTTACTGATAAATGATAGACTCTATTAATCAATCATGACTTCGTGTGGACTGAGATTATCTCCGGGATGGTTTATTTACCAACTGGAAATTCGGTTTTGATTCTGATCCTCGGCTGGATGTACTTGAGCTTTTCCTCTTTGTATTCTAGTTCTTTCGGGAGATACCATCGTCTTTTCTAAATTTTAATAAGTCCCCTCTCAAATAAGCCCCCTCAAATGAGCTTGAAATAAATAAGTTCCCCCGGGGGCTTAATAGAGGATTTACGGTAAGGGAAGACACTCTGCCCTACCTTCCTTAATAACAGCTCGAATGCAGGAAGGAACAGTCCAGGATATCTTTCGTAGAAAGTCATAATCGCTCTAAAAGCATATGTTCCTCGTGTATCAAAGCTAAAGCTGACTACTGATTTAAGTGGGGTATTGTCAAGTTGTCACAAAGACACTAACACCAGGGTCAGGAACGGTATTCTCGGGATCCGAAATACAGTGTGGGATTCCGGAAAACGCAAAATATCTTGACGGGATACTGGATTTGACCGTTACTCGGCAAGCGGTTTCGCTAAAGTCTTGTCACAGTATCCGGTGTTGGGGAAGAAAAAACGGTGTTCGGGATTGAAGTGACATAACTTCAAGATGCAGGATTGTTGTGAAAAAGAAGCGGGAATGCGCGAATTTTAATCCCCTTCCGGACTCTGCAAAACTACAATTGATGGTGAGCATCTACGGCTCACCAACAAAGTCTGTTGTTTATCTTTAGATCTTCCGTTTAATTAAAAATAAAGAAATCCATAGCTCCCACTTTAGTCAAAACATGCGTTCTCTTTTCCTAGTTTAAGACGCAATCCACCGTACCAGGACATTGAGTAATTTTGATTTTCAGTGGACAAAAATCTTGTACCAGAATAATTTAAAGTATATTGCATTATTTCTTACGTTTTTCAAGGGCTAAAGATGTAATAAATCATCTATAGTAACACCAAAGACAATTTCTCATGGAAGCCCGAGAAAATGAATGTCAAATTTCACAGAATTACATCTTACACACGAAATTTTCAGAATTTTACCTGTGTAATCACAATTCTTCCAAAATTTGAAGTTCATTTTCTCGCACTTCCATGAGAAATTTCCTTTGGTGTTACTACACATGATTTATTACATCATAAGCCCTTGAAAAATGTAAAAAAGGATGCGGCAAAATTCTTTAAATTATACTGGTACAAGGTTTTCGTCCACTGAAAATTAAAACCACTCAATTTCCTCGTCGACTCCTTCTTAATCTCTTTGTGAGGTGTATGCTTTGCTGCCTCTATTGCTTTCTTCAAATCATCAAGAAAGAGTTAAGTTATGGCAACGGACTCACAACTATAAGCACTACTTTCGTGTTCTATCCAAACATATTTCAAAATGTGGATTTAAATGTGTGCTGTAAAAAAAGAATCTACAGCGGCGTTAATGAGTGCAAACTGCGTGTTGATAAGGCTCAGAAAACTATCAGCAGTACATACATGACCTCTTCCAAACAGTTTAAGACGGATGTCAAGTACATGCTGTTTAGAATCTAGTGCTGCGTTGAAGTCTCCAAATGAATGTTGAATGATTCCAAGGTTATGATAACTATTAGCAGTGTCTGCGTGTTCTTCTCCAAACAGTTTAAGGCGGATGTCAAGTGCATGCTGTTTAGAATCGTGTGCTGCGTGGAAGTTTGCAAGTGAATGTTGAATGAAACCAAGACCATGATAACTATTAGCAGTGCTTGCGTTTTCTTCTCCAAACAGTTTAAGGAAGATGTCAAGTGCATGCTGTTCAGAATCTAGTGCTGCGTTGAAGTATCCAAGTGAATGTTGAGTGGCTCCAAGGTTATGATAACTATTAGCAGTGCTTGCGTGTTCTTCTCCAAACAGTTTAAGGCGGATGTCAAGTGCATGCTGTTCAGAATCTAGTGCTGCGTTGAAGTTTCCAAGTGAATGTTGAATGACACCAAGACCATTATAACTATTAGCAGTGTCTGCGTGTTCTTCCCCAAAAAGTTTAAGGCAGATGTCAAGTGCATGCTGTCTAGAATCTAGTGCATGCGTTGAAGTTTCCAAGTGAATGTTGAGTAGCTCCAAGGTTATGATAACTATTAGCAGTGCTTGTGTGTTTTTCTCTAAACAATTTAAGGAAGATGTCAAGTGCATGCTGTTTAGAATCGTGTGCTGCGTTGAAGTTTCCAAGTGAATGTTGAATGACACCAAGACTCTGATAACTATTAGCAGTGCTTGCGTGTTCTTCTCCAAACAGTTTAAGGCGGATGTCAAGTGCATGCTGTTCGGAATCTAGTGCTGCGTTGAAGTTTCCAAGTGAATGTTGAGTGGCTCCAAGGTTATGATAACTATTAGCAGTGCTTGCGTGTTCTTCTCCAAACAGTTTAAGGCGGATGTCAAGTGCATGCTGTTCGGAATCTAGTGCTGCGTGGAAGTTTCCAAGTGAATGTTGAATGAAACCAAGACTCTGATAACTATTAGCAGTGCTTGTGTGTTCTTCTCCAAACACTTTAAGGAAGATATCAAGTTCATGCTGTTTAGAATCTAGTGCTGCGTTGAAGTTTCCAAGTGAATGTTGAATGACACCAAGACTCTGATAACTATTAGCAGTGCTTGCGTGTTCTTCTCCAAGCAGTTTAAGGCGGATGTCAAATGCATGCTGTTCAGAATCTAGTGCTGCGTTGAAGTTTCCAAGTGAATGTTGAGTGGCTCCAAGGTTATGATAACTATTAGCAGTGTCTGCGTGTTCTTCTCCAAACAGTTTTAGGTAGATGTCTAGTGCATGCTGTTTAGAATCTAGTGCTGTGTTGAAGTTTCCAAGTGAATGTTGAGTGGCTCCAAGGTTATGATAACTATTAGCAGTGCTTGCGTGTTCTTCTCCAAACAGTTTAAGGCGGATGTCAAATGCATGCTGATGAGAATCTAATGCTGTGTTGAAGTCTCCAAGTGAATGTTGAATGACACCAAGACCATGATAACTATTAGCAGTGCTTGCGTGTTCTTCTCCAAACAGTTTAAGGCGGATGTCAAGTGCATGCTGTTCAGAATCTAGTGCTGCGTTGAAGTTTCCAAGTGAATGTTGAGTGGCTCCAAGGTTATGATAACTATTAGCAGTGTCTGCGTGTTCTTCTCCAAACAGTTTAAGGCGGATGTCAAGTGCATGCTGTTCGGAATCTAGTGCTGCGTGGAAGTTTCCAAGTGAATGTTGAATGACACCAAGACCATTATAACTATTAGCAGTGCTTGCGTGTTCTTCCCCAAAAAGTTTAAGGTAGATGTCTAGTGCATGCTGTTTAGAATCTAGTGCTGCGTTGAAGTTTCCAAGTGAATGTTGAGTCGCTCCAAGGTTATGATAACTATTAGCAGTGCTTGCGTGTTCTTCTCCAAACAGTTTAAGGCGGATGTCAAATGCATGCTGATGAGAATCTAATGCTGTGTTGAAGTCTCCAAGTGAATGTTGAATGACACCAAGACCATTATAACTATTAGCAGTGCTTGCGTGTTCTTCCCCAAAACGTTTAAGGTGGATGTCTAGTGCATGCTGTTTAGAATGTAGTGCTGCGTCGAAGTTTCCAAGTGAATGTTGAGTGGCTCCAAGGTTATGATAACTATTAGCAGTGTCTGCGTGTTCTTCTCCAAACAGTTTAAGGCGGATGTCAAGTGCATGCTGTTCGGAATCTAGTGCTGCGTGGAAGTTTCCAAGTGAATGTTGAATGAAACCAAGACCATGATAACTATTAGCAGTGTCTGCGTGTTCTTCTCCAAACAGTTTAAGGTGGATGTCAAGTGCATGCTGTTTAGAACCGAGTGCTGCGTTGAAGTTTCCAAGTGAATGTTGAGTGATGCCAAGGTTATGATAACTATTGGCAGTGTCTGCGTGTTCTTCTCCAAACAGTTTAAGGTGGATGTCAAGTGCATGCTGTTTAGAACCGAGTGCTGCGTTGAAGTTTCCAAGTGAATGTTGAGTGATGCCAAGGCTAGAATAACTATTGGCAGTGGTTGCGTCTTCTTCTCCAAACAGTTTAAGGCGGATGTCAAGTGCATGCTGTTTAGAATCTAGTGCTGCGTTGAAGTCTCCAGATGAATGCTGAGTGTTTCCAAGGACTTCGTAGCACGCTGCAAGTGCTTCCTTGTGTACCCGGGAGAAGGAGGTTTTTTCACTACGCCGATCTAGAGCTTTTTGATGGAAACTAATACTCCTTTGACACTGTAATGTGGTGTCTTCCTTTTGGGCTAAAACAGACAGAAGAAGCCTATGAAGTTTACAGGCACCTGTGGAGATACGCTCCTCTCTTTCGATCTCGTTCAGCATCTCATGTAAAATATTTATAAAATATTGTTTCGTGTCACCATCAATGAAATTTTGCGTTGTCCGGCTTACAATATGTATCATTGCCAGTTTTAAGGGGTGGTCAGAAACGTCGATCACAGCTCTTTGATTTTCTGACTCATTGCTTCGTTTCCCTCCTTCCCCCTTTTTTAAAGATAACACCGGCAGTTGGCCTGTATCTCCCGCTGCATTGCAAAGTAATTCATTTAATTCCGTCGAAGTGTTTTGAAATCGGCAAAACATCTCAAGAATTTGAAGAGTAATAAGGGTAAGATTTTTCTGATCTGCACTTCCACTCAACTTCCGGAGAGCGTCTTGCAAATTCCGAATTCCATCTTCCGTATTGCCGTTAACAAGGTGGTTGATACCTAAGTAACACAGACATTTTCCTTGTAGTTCAAACATGGAAATAGAAGGCAGTGAAGCTGCAGCTTTCTTTGCTCTAGAAAGCAACTGCAACGTACTTCCCTTTGCACCCCAATATGCTTCTCCAAACGCCTTTGAAACAAGAAGTCGACTGTAAGATTCGGTTCTCTCAAACTTCTTCGCAGCCTCTATAGCCGAATCGTATATAAGATAAAAGGTTAATCCTTCGTTAAAAAAAAGGGTATCAAGAAACAACTCTCCCTTAGCTAACACATCGAAAACAGTGCCAGCTGTCTTCGCATCCGCAAGCGTATTTAATAGGCTTTGAATAATACTTTGCTCATCTTCATAGAATTTGAGAAACGCCGCCATTGAATTGCCAGTCAGAAACTGCTCATTTAGCTTCTGAAAAAGGGACACGTAAAACGCGTAAAAGGCGTTCAATCGGTCCTTTGATTTAAGGACCGTGTCTTTCATCTCATTTTCTCCTTTTTCTCTTGCAAATGATTGTAGCAGCTTGTGCATCGTAAATAACTCCTGTTTCACACCTGAATCAATAAGGGACTTTCTCCGAAGGCTGAGCAATATCTTCTTGGCCTGAAGACTTTCTTCGTCTAAAACAGCAGCAGCGACCTCCGTACCAAAATTCTCTGGAAGAATACTCAATGACACTAGTGCTTTTTTTTCCTGTACAGTTAGCCTCTTGAACGATAACTCAAAAAGAGACTGTAATCTGTACTCGTCTGGATAATCTGGCCTGTCTAACGCCTCGGCAATACTCGCTGTGGAGGCGACTGACTGCATGAATTCATCGAGATATTGGCTTGGTTCAGCCCCAACATCAGAAATTGAGGAACACAATAACTTTATTGCGAAGGGTACAAATCCACAGATTTGCAGGATCCGTGTACAGTCTGAAGAACTTGCTGTTGGAAGAAGGGCTTTTACTAAGGTCATTGCAGATTCTTCATCCAGTGGTCTAATCCTTACACTCTCGTGACCGTCCAAATCCAGATTCAGAAAACCTAGGAACTCTCTCGTTGTTAAAGCAAATATGGTCGCCTTACTTCGCCTGAGAATTTCTTTCAAAAGTCCTGTGACCTCTTTCTTCACGCCTGGCTTACCATCTTCTAATAAATTATCAGCATTATCGAGAATAAAAATAGATCGATCGGAAATTTCGCTTAAAAGTAGGCAAAGCTGATCATCAAGGGATGGATGAGAAAAGGATGGATGATCATCTCTGACAGATGGCTTAACAAAGCTTAGAAGCTTTGAAGTCAGATCTGTTTTTGTTTTCAGTTCACGTAATGAAAGCCAAAAGACCGGCATTCCTTTAGACTGAAGATCGTGTCCCACCGCAATCGCAACCGATGTTTTTCCGAATCCAGGTGAACCCCAGATCGACACGAGCCGGGTAGATTCAGAAGTCACGTGACCTATAATCTCCTCACACTCGCTTTGACGTCCAGTAAAATTAGGAACCTTTGCAGGAAGGGAAGGTATGGATAGTGATGTTCTCACACCTGTAACAGCAATAATATATGGTTTTGTATTTTTAAGAAGCTGAAGTAAAATATCAGCGAACAAATTTGGCAATCTTCATTTTTTTTTCTACCGCTACCCACATAGTTTTGTTTATGCCTACTGCGTGAAATAAAAACTTTGCAAGTTGTTGGTTTCATAAACTTCTGCATGAACTAGTAGAGGCTACATCTTTCTTTATTTATCCATATTCCTGGGTATCAATCAAGCGGCCGGATTCTTTTTTCGAGTTACAAATTTAATATGGTAATTTCGTCAAGTTTGGATCCTTAGATAGGGTAGCGTTATTATATCAGCGAACATTCAAGTGAGTATATGCCCAGCTTGATGAGAAAGAAACCATCTGCTAAAACTTACCTTAGAGTATTAGGGAAGCGATGTCAGGAAGATTTGTGTGTTTCCGTTAAATTCATAAAGTTTTGTTTTCTCCTTGAACTGGGTGTCATTTTTCAGGTTTGGCCCGTTAATTAGGGTATCAGTTTTCGATTTTCTCACCCTTAAATAGGGTCAGGGTTTAATAAAATATTTTAAAACAGTTGTAATCTTTTTGTTTTTCTATAGCCTTTTCTAGCTCTAGGTTTAAGTCTTAGTTTTTAATAATACTGGTTGTAAAGTTTGTTTTTCTAGCCTTTTTAATGGTTAGTTAGAGTATGTGTAAGCCATTTTATATTGCAAGGCAGGTTTTAGTCTATCTGTGTGAAGCACTATAGGGCATCCGTTTGGATATAGTGCCATATAAGTAAAGAAATATTATTATTATAAGACCCTGGGCGGCAAACACCGTTGATGTATTTCGGAGTACCCCTCCCGCCCGAGGTGCTCAGTTAGTAAATAACATCGAAAACAGATAATATACAGGGTGTTTCAAAAGTTCGTTCCGATTTTTGTTTCGCTTAAATTTCACTGATTATTAAAAATACCTTTTGTAAAACTAAGCAGTGTTATTCATTATTCATTTAACATTGACTAACTAAAATATTAGTAAACAGAATGTCCTCCTTTATGTTTTCTAACATTTTTTAAGCGGTTAGGTATGGAATGTACGAGCTCCCAAAGCGTGTGTAAATTCACATTTTTTTAGGCGAAGCGTAGTCGCTGTCTCAGCTCGTCCAGTGTTTTGGGGGCTAGATCTTTGTATGTTGTCAGTCTCATCAACAATAATCCAGAAGGTCTCTAGAGTGTTCACATCGGGTGAGTTTGCCGGCCGGTCTTCCTTTAGTACAAAGTTTGCAAATTAATTGATACCATGCTTACATGAAGTGTGCACCGCCTTTTTTCTCTTCAAGGCTTTCCAACCTTTTTTGGTCACATATCTTCACACCGTTGTACTCGAAACTTTAATATTGTGAGGTTGAAGTCTCTCTGCCTTGTTGAATTATTACGTATATACTAGCTTACAGCTTTTTTGATAACATTTCTCACGCAGACTATAAAAAACAAACGGCCATCTACCTGATCTACTTCTTGGATTGTCTTCTAAGGTCTTTACTTTTGATCACTTGTTCACTCATTGTTCAGACTTCTCCAACAATTTTCCAATTTCTTTGACTGAATGGCCAGAATACCGTAAAAAATAGCATGTCTGAGCTCTAGCACAAACAGTTTAGGCCTTCATTTTCGTGAAAGAGCAGAAAAAATAAAAGAAAACGGCAAAAATACGAAAATAGAAAACCTACAAAGTGGGCAGGAAAAATATGGCGGGAAAAACTCGAGTACGAGCACATTTGCAGCAAAAATAAAAAAAATATTACATTTTCTTCAAATTTTAGTTGGAAATTACTTTGAACGGTCATTTAGATAAATTTCGTACCTGAATCAGATTACATTTTCCTAAAGAAGATTTAAATGCTTTGCGCAAAATACGATTTACAATCGGAACGAACTTTTGAAACACCCTGTAAGAGTGTATGAACATATATAAGTAGGCATTAAAGTTCAGGGTATGTCAAGAACAATGTCAGAGCATCCTTTCATTTATACCCTTTTACATTTTCTTTCGTAAGCTATACTAACACAACTAGTAAAACAATACAATAGTACATTCTATGTTAACTAGTGAAACGAACCTACCTTTGTTAACATGGGCATCATTTCCTTGATAGTGAGGCCATCTTTGGAAGACAACAGCATCATTCAAAATTTTGGCAACTAAAGAAGCAGCATTAGCACTTGCAAAATCGCTCCAATTTTCATTTGTTTTTACGCTTCCATCTGCATAATTAGCAATTCCTTTTACAACAAGCCATTCAACTTCCAGGTCAAATGCAGCTGTGTAAAGTCCTACAACAGAAACACACCGCTCATAAATAGGGCCATCTATAGATGAGAAATAAACTTGTAGGGCGGGATATCAAATAAAAAGGTGCGTTATCACAACCTGTAAATTCAGTTTGTCAGTCTTAACAGTATGGCTTGCTACTCTTCAAGGCTAAATCAAAATCGCAATATACCGAAGACCGAAGGCTACTGTGATGGAGACAAAGGGATGCAAGGTATGCTAAAGAATAGTTGTCCTGGAAGAAACACATCATTCTGACGCTGGAACCAGGCTCACAGATCGACCCGCTTCAAATATAATTTGGGCGCGTGACTGTTCTCATGGTCAAAATTTTACAAACAGATATGAATCTGCGATCGATATTTTGGTTTTATGAACAAAAAAGTTACTGACGAAAAATTATCAAAATGACAATAATAATGTTCTTTTTTGTAATTATCGTCTTCGAAATCAGATTGTCCAAAGGTTTTTTATTCATAATGAAATTCTCTTAATCTTCAATGAATAATTTTAATTTAAAATAATTAAAAAGTGGGGAAAATCATTTATAATTTTATTTTTATTTATTTTATTTTATTTGCCACACTAATTACAAAAAATATAGGAAAAGAAGAAGAAAAAAAAGAAAAAGAAGTGGCGAGGAGACCTAACAGAAACTATAGGAGCTTATGAGAGGTTAGGCCTCCTCGAACTATGAGCTAGAGCTGTTTCACATCAATTGAAGAGAAGAAGGCGAAAAGTCGAAGATGGAAAGATTTATAAACTGTTTTCATACTTACTCAATAATTTAATCTTCAGTTTTTTCTTAAAAGAGGAGAGGGATTGAGAGTTGATGATCTTGTTGTCAAGTGAATTAAAAAACTTAGGCCCTTGAAAAAAGGGCGAGAACTTCTTCGTGTTTGTACGACAATACGGTAGACGGTAGGCCTGGGAATTTCTTGTATTGTAAGAGTGGAATTGATTGCTTTGAGAAAAATTGTTATTAAACTTTGGAGGTAAGAATGAATTTTTGCAAGAATACATAAATTGGCCCAGTTGAAGCAAATGGATATCATTAAATTTTAGTATACCGAGGTCCTTAAAGATGGGGTCAGTATGAGCATTAAAATGTGATTTATTAATAATTCTAATAATGCGCTTTTGCAGGATAACAAGGCGGCGGAGATTAGTTTTATAGGTCGAAGCCCAAACGATATTGCAGTAGTAAAAATAAGGATAAATTAAGGAATAGTAGAGCATACGTAAAGACGATTTAGGAAGGAAGAAGCTGCATCTAGATATTATACCGATTGACTTCGCAACTTTACTTGCAACGTGAGATATTTCCGACTTCCAATTTAGGTTTTCATCCAAAATTACGCCTAGAAAATTTGTCTCCTTTACTTTAACAATATTTTGATTATCTATACTTATTTGAATATTACAAATTGAACGCTAATAAAGCCTCATTTATAAAGCCTAAAAACCTAACTACCTTGGAAAAGTTATTTCAAAAACGCAATGTTTATCTAACCTGTACTTCTCTAAAGCACTCGGTGAAAGGCTACAAGGGTCACTTTAGACTATACATATGACGAGTGTCGACGCAGTGATCCGACTACTTTTTAATGGAGGAAACTCCGCTCATTTGTGTTTTATTCCCGAGCAGTTAGAAAACCGATATGGAAGAGACGAGTATTTTTACCCATACAGGTATCGCCAATCGCTTAGGGTAACGGCTGAAGGGATATGGACATTGAAACGTTCAGTCACTGTAGCTGTTGCTGGAATTGGTCGCCAGTTTTAGTATTGTCTCTTTTAGAGGTCAACTAAAAACTGAACCATACCCAGATTGGTCTCCCCGAGAGGTTTAGTTCTATTTTCTGACGATATTCCCCGCGAAGCCCCGTAGCCTGAGACCAGGTTCCACAGTGTGGGGGTGGGGAGGGGTGTAAGGGAAAAAAACAGTCAGGGATCAAAGACCATCAAAGCGATTCGAACGGGAGTCTGGAAAGAAAACAAAATGGCGGTGTAAGGTGGTGCCGCCCCCTTCTCCAGTCCTCTGATAGGCTCGCTTCTCTTGCCGATTGTTTTAGCTCTTTCACCTCGTTTTTTGCTTTTTTCCCCCCATTACGGAGCCTGACCCAGGCTATTTCCCCTGGGATTTCATTACCTTCGGCTTCAGAGTCAATGGCCACTGCTTGAGGAAAGGTTTCAGCCAGCTGTTTACGCCGCCATTCTGCATTGATTACTTCTGGAACGCTCAACAGCTCACCGCTGCTGTGAATTTTGACTTCTCGATCTTCTGAGTTCTTCAAAGGAGCCTCCCATCCACGTGCTGCATCCTTAATGAGGTCAAGAAATCGTCTACTAACAGGCGTTCTTATATTATTGTGCAGCTCTCTTTCGTTCGTCACTTTTTTCAATCCATATGTTGTCAACTTTGCAGGTATTACAACATCACCCAATTTGGTTTCCTCAGGACAGAGGCTACTGCAGGTTCCAACTAAAATCACTGCTTTGGGCATAAGCATTGAGACAGCATTTTTTGTAGTCACTATGGAACCTCCCGGACCACCAGAACCTTCATGACATCGCAATAAAGCGACTTTTACTCTCTCATTTTGGCTTTCATTCTCATCCTCGAAGTAGACATAACCGACACCATTGAACCAACATGTAAATGGATTATTCAGGTGCATATAGCAAGCTGAGAACTCACAGTCCTTTACAGTCAGTAACAAAATGTCGACAGGAAGGCGTGCATGATTCCCAGGCTTTGTTTGTAACTTGATATCACTCATGCGGGGTAGTTTAACACTAAGCTGGGGCGGGTCTTCATTGGCGTCGCTGTTCTTCCTCTTAGTTCCCCTATTTGCGCCATGTGAGATATCTTCTTCTTGTGCTTTGCTGCCAAAGTCCTTTGAAGGGTTTGACATTTCGCTCAATTTAGACCTTTGATCTGGCATATAAAGAGTACATAAACTGTCACATGTTTGTATAAGAAAGATTAGCGGGGAGAGAGCGTCTGTACACAGGCTAAGGAACGATTTGATTTAAAATAGTCAATGAAATTAGGAGCCTGTGTGCAGCCGCCCCATCTCCTCAAAAACCATCCGCAAAACAAAAACACGATTAGCAAGCGGCACGACACAGACGTCTTTCTCCCCGATTTTGGTTGAGAGGAGGGAGTAGCTGTACACAGAACCAGCGATCACAGTGCAGTATCCGAATGGCGGTGGATGACTTTGAAAAGTTTTGCAATAAATTTCTCAGAATTTCCCGATAAATTCTCTCCGATTTTAAAGAATGGGACGGTATTGTCTTTTGTACAAAGCAAAGTATTTCCTTGTCCTCTGTAATAATTCCCCGCAGAGTACCCAAATTATCTCGGAAAACTCTCAGGTCGCTTTTTACTTTGTTGTTTTCTTCTCGTCATTTTGTTTTGAGCGCTCTGTTGATGTTGAGTTTAAATTGAGGGTTTTAACTGTTTATTCATAGTTTACAGCATGGATTTGCGATTTTAAGCTTCTTCAAGGAATTTTAAAGTTCTGTCCTGGATCTGGGATAGGAGCAGTTTTAAAAAGGTTTTTACTGACAGAGCTTTGCACAGTCATCAGAGAAATTACTGCCATAAATTCAATGTGCACAGCATTGTTATTTTTTTCTTCTTACTTCATTTAAAGCGAAAGTTCTCAATTAGCTCATAACATGACAATGACGTTCATTGGGTGCGGAGCCCTCCAGGTATCACACTTGAACGGCCCCGGTACAAATTCTGGCTGTCAGAGATTTCGTTTGTGTACCTCCTACCTTTTGTTTGACTGTTCGCGCGTACTTGAGAGCGCAAAAATACGGACTGTTTGCAGTCTACAAATCCCATTGCGGTAGAAAATAGAAAGTTAAATTTATTATTATCGCTTACAAGTTTCGTCACGTGCCGTCCTTTTTTTCTTTTGAAATATGGCATTGTAAAAAAATAAGAAAATACTATAGATTTTGGTAAGTCCAGTAGACTTTCTAAAAGTCCTTTAAGAGAAACGTAGCCAATATCCAGCCATAATGACCTCATGGCTGGTCAAACATAAAGGATTTATTATGTGGCCAAAAGAGAACTTTTTCTTGCGGGATCGAAGCGGGAAATCCCGAGCGGACAAGATGAATCCATGATGACCCTTTGGGTAATCAATCGGAGCATAGGATTCACACCATCCTGCCCTAGTATCCAGTCATTGAGGCCATAGAAGTTTGTTTAATACGCATACAAATTGTTGCCGGGCTCTTCTCCAAATGTTTTTCTACCTATTTCATCTCAGTCTGTTTTTATTTCTCCAAGTGGTTCATCAAGGTGCGAAGCGCGCCAGCAGACCTTTTGTTTTGCTGTTTTGAAATCTAATACCTGACCGATCCATGAGAATGTTTTGAACAAACTTTTTGCTGGTGAACCTTAGCGGCCTACCAGTTCAGCAAGATTATTATGTTCCGTTTTTCGGTTTCTTATAAGCGATATTAATTTTTAACTTGTGGGGATTACGCGTAGCGTAAGAAACAAGTTTTTGTGGGCACTGCGATATGCATATGTGTCAGTGACTCGGGTGTAGAAACCGTTCGTAATTAGTCGGCTCCGCACGAAAGCGCCCGATATCAAAACGACAACTGTCGTAGATCGATCTTTCCCTTTCCACGATTAAGACTTGGAAGGGCTGAGCGTGTATTATGCCCAGAGCTTTTGATGTTGTGATATTGTACCTTCACAGGACGATAAGTTGTCTTCATGTGGACTTTGAATGTTTAAAATCAGCACTTTGCCCAACCTTTTTGACTCATTCAGGCGATAAACATGACAAAAGATCAGCAATTGCTCTTCGACTCCCAAGCTGGCTCAAGCTCACGATTCTGTGTGAGTCTCACGATCTTTTAACTTTTCTCACGACAAGACTCCCAATTTCATGGTTCTTAGTGAAATATCATTCTGAAATTAAATGTTTCTTTGTTCAATCGAAAAGGAAATGTTTGCCGTTGCTGAATCGTACTGATTCTCCGCCGTCAGCAAGAGACTTCGCGACGGTTTTGCGCGCATGTTTTACATTAGTCGTCGTGGCACAATAGATAATGCGCTACCCTTACACGTTCGACTCCCATCGGAAGAAGCCTTTTTTTCTTTTTCCTTGGTCGTTTTGTTTTTGGTTTTTTTAACATATTTTTTTTAAACAGACTTAAATTGAATTGCAAGTCAATTATCAGCTTTCATTTCTAAAATAATTAATCCACAAGTTAACCTTAGGCACCATTTGGTCTAGTTTTTTCCGAGGTTATCAGTTTCGGCGATCCGTGAGCCCGCGGCCATAAGCGCGGGGGTCGATCTAGGATCAGCTCTAGTGTTACGTCATTTTCTGAATCTTGGGGGTGGGGTGGGGGTAGGTTCAGCAAACGGAAATTCCGACTGCAGTTTCAAAAATGATCCTACGATAACTTATTTCGAGGGCTAAAAAATAGTTGTCTAGGAGAAACTGCGCTCTCACCCACCTACAATCATCGTCAAAAGTGTTGGGAAGGTTGCCCTTTTTACCTCTTCTTTTCCTTCCTCCCCCCGCCCCTGGCCCAATGTTGATCAAAGCGTTAATGTTTGTGCGCGTAATTGTTCTGTTATATTCCAACATTGAATAGGGGGGAAGGGGGATATTTAGCAAAAGAGAAAACTCTCTTGGATTAAAATGGACTACTGTTTAGTTATACAACCTTCCCAACTACTTTTGTCTGTGATTGTAGGTTAGCCCTGCTTTTTACAGGTAGAGTAGTTCGCAAATTGTAACTTTTGACGTTAAAATTAACTAATCTAATTGCTATTATATAACCCATATACTAAGGAATTCTGGGATTGAAACTAGCCGACGACAAGGTGACAGCCGTGGTTAGTGTTGAATAAAAACGGTATGCCACAGAGTGTTTAGGGTTAGCAATCGTTACTTGCATCGGCAAGCTAGAGTTACCTTTTAATTAATCATAACCCATAGCTCTCAGTTTCGTCAGAACATGCGTGCGTTTCTCCCATTTTAAACTGGACTCGCTGCAGCTGCAAGAATTTGCTGACGCTGTTACTCCTAGCCTGTTAACGTCCCTCAGCGGCGATGAGCGAGGAGAAGCGTCTGCCGTTCGCAGGCTATGTTACTCCCTCCAAATCACCTAAAGAAGGTAGAGTAAGTGCAAGGTCATCAAAACTATCAGCAGTGCGTTCTTGTTCTTCTCCAAACAGTTTAAGAGCAGTGCATGCTGATAACGAACTAGGGGCGCGTGGAAGTCTGCAAGTGAATGTTGAGTGGCTCCAAGGTTATCACGGATAACTATCAGCAGTTACGTGTTCTTCTCGAACAGTTTAAGGCGGATGTCAAGTGCATACTGTACACTTCGGGTGAGGAGGTGCGGCCCGGCCCCTCATACCCTGACCCTGTTTGAGACAAAAATCTCTGATTTTCCTACCCTAGCTGTTTAAGACAGAATTCCGAGTTTTGATACCCTGTTTAAGACATTTAACCCAAAACCATACCCTGTGTAAGACAATAATAAATATCGAAAGTCTTTCTTATCTAATCCATTATTTTGGCAATCACAAAACTATTTACAGCTTGATCAACAGAGTCACGCAGGCTGTTTATCGTCCAAGAAAAGATACCCTGTTTAAGTCAAAAATTGATAAAATCGATACCCTGATTAAGACAAAAAATGATAAAATCCAGGCCCGTAGCAGGGGGAAGGGCAGGGGGGGCTCGAGCCCCCCCCCCAAAATTTTCAGACCTGAATAAAATTCTGCTGCAAAAGTGGAATTTTTCTACTAAAATGGACAGCTGTCAATGGAACCTAAAATTTCAAAGTATTGTCGATCATAGTAAGATTATGTACTGTTGTTCTTCTGGGCCCAGTTGTTCAAAGGCCGATTAGTGCTTAACCTGGGGTTAAATTTAACCCGGATTTCTTTTTCTTGTGTTCAAAAGCATTTTATCGGATAATTTTCTCTGTTATTTTTAAAGCTTCCAATCAACCTGTAGACAAAAAGAATTGAAACTGAAATGCTTTTTAAGCTTTCAAATCTGCATTCAAATCTTGCACTAACCCTGGGTTATCTTAACCCAGCTTTGAACAACTCAGCACTGTACAATTTTGGAATTGTGTAAATGAACAAAATCGTATTTTTGCTCTGCCAAAAACAACCAACAGCTTTAAGGTATCAGCCACCCTTAAAATTGCCATTTTTCCATATTTGAGGTTTCAACGTTTTCAAATAGATATGCTTGAGAGCTTTCTTTTAAAAAAAAAATTAGAAGAAAATATTATTTCTGTCGAAAGATATCGGGGGTAAAAGATTTTTTCTCGTTAATTATCTTAATTGATCGTTGACAAGATCTGTCATACCCGTGTCATATATCAATTAACTTGCCCGTGAACTAGTAACGTGATACCGAGTGCGTGCTTCGACACAACACGTGCGAATTGTCTTCGCGTTGTTTATAGCCTTTAGTATTCTCCGTGGATATTAAGCGTTTGCCGCCAAAAAAAAGGAAAATTTCGTCATCGAAACCGAGAGCGAAAAGGAAATCGAAGAGCGAGTTTGACAAAGAATGGGCCGCAAAATTGGCAGAGAGCGACAAAGGCTCATTTTATCAGCAAGAGAAGTGGCTCGAGGAGTTGGATATTCAGAAAAGCGAAAATGTTGCAGTTGCTGATCATGAGAGTGCAAGCCGCTCCAAAATCCAGCTTGAAGAGCCAGATGAAGAAAGCCAATTAAGCTCATCGACCCCATCTGCTGATGGAACGTGGAAAACAATAAGCGGTCGAGCTATCGTATCGAGCGAAAAGCTGTTTGAGAAACTGGACGAGTCTGTATCTTGTCGATTTTGCCAGGGAAGAGTCCAAGTCATGGAAAATGTAGCGACTAAGCATGGAC